ATTGTTACTATATACTCATCCTGCTGTAGTCTTTTCCTACCTCCAATCTACCCTCCTTACTACCCCCACAAATTCTTTCTACAAAACATGTCACTCACCACCTTAGGAGACTACGATAATAAATTTCTGCCCAACTTCCCGTGTCTTCCTCAGCTTATTCCTTCATTTACTTTCATCTATACATTCTTTCTGGTTCAAACTCTAGAGATTCAACTTATTCTCTACTACTCCCAAACATGTATCATTCACCCATTCATTCAGCCTGTTTATACTGCATCTCTGTTGGAGGCCAGGTACTGGAGGTATCATTGGAATTAAGCATAAGTGTCAACTCTCATAGAATTTACACTTGGGGAAACAAGAAGTACACTAGTCAGAAAAAGTCAATTTGTCATGTTTCCATCCCTATATATTCTGTATTTTTTTTAAAGATTGATTTATTTATTTATACCAGCTCTGGGTACAGTCAGAAGTTTGGGAGGGTGAGAGAATTCACCAGAGCCCGAGCGGGGAGCAGAGCAGGCAGAAGGACCGAAGTACACTGCTGAGGGGAACAGCGGGTGGCAGGAGAGGTCTGCGTGACATGTGGGACTCTCGCCCCCGGCCAGGGATTGAACTGGTGCTGCAGAGGCCGTGGGCAGCTTCGCAGCCCAGCGCTCAAATGCTGCGCCACAGGGGAGGCCCTATGTGTTCTGTATTTTTATCCTGGCCCACCCTGGCCTCTCCTCTCTCCAAAGTTCTTTATTCTTAGTACCACCCTATTTCATAGTTGTTCAATCTAAAGTGGGTACTGTGTCTTACCAGCTACATAATAAAGTCTTTGAAGGACTTATAAATTCTTTAAAGTGAGTAATGCATAAGTTCAAAATATTTTTCCATTGATTTTTGTATGCTGCAGAACACAGACGTCTTCTTTTAGGTGCATGTTTTCAGAATGCACATGTCTTAAAGTTTGCGGTCCACTGGAGGAAAGAGAACTCCTATTTCCATCAATTAAAATATCTGCTCCCTTGGACTAAGAGTTCTTTGATGTACTATAGTTGGTTGCTGTGTGTTAATACATTAACTGAAAGTCCACTATAATTTGAGAAGTATAAGTTACTTTATATTTTCTGCTATTTTTTATACAACCCTAAACTTATGCCCCTAAACTTGGCATTGTAAATCCATATCACTTTATTCTGTTCACTATTTTGAGGCTCAGAGATTCGGGAAGGGCTTAGCTGGGCGGTTCTCCCTTGCAGTCAGAGGTCAGCCTGGCTGGCAGTCATCTGAAGTTTGGTTGGATGGCCACGCTGGCTCACTCACTGCCATCAGGGCTGCTGGCTGTCGACAGGGAATGGGGCTGGAGCTGCTGGCTGCAGTGCCTTTCTGTATGATCATCTCAGGGAAGCTCAATTTCTTCACAGTGGCCAGTTGCCTCCAGAGCAAACATTCAAAGAACATGAATGGGGGAAGGCTGTGTGAATTCCATAGATCATTTCACACTCTGTGGGTGGAAGTTAAACAAGCCTGTTTGGATTCAGGGGGAGGGAACACAGGAGATTTCAACGAGAGGATGTCAAGGAATTTGTGGTCATTTCAGAAATCACCTCAGTCATCCTCTGGACACAATTATTTACATCATTTCAAATTTACATTTTTCCAAATGCACAACATTCAAACGTATTCAAGACATTCAGATGAGACCCCCAAGAGTCTCATTTAACATGACGTCAGCGCCAGGCTCAAGAGGTGGGGTCTCAGCGTATGATGGGACAGGGTAAGGCTCCTCAGGTACAGATCCTCTGCCTGGAGACTGTGAATGAAAGAGACAGATGCTCTGTTCTGCACACACCCAAAATACAAGTGACATGGGGACTGGACAGCATGCACACCCTTCTTCAGTGTGGAGCTGCAAACAGGACTTCTTCTCAGCTGCAGTTTCTCTCTCACCCAGGGGTGAGACTTCAGGCAGCTATGTCACTTCTTTGGGTCTCATTTCCCTCACAGGATGAAGTAAAACCAAGATAGACCATAGAGAGCTCTTCCACTCAAAAGTTGTTATTTTGTGAAATTCCAAAATAGTAAAATCTGGATATGAATATAGACAAATCTCCATGCATAATTAAGGTCCTTCTACAGTAGAAAATGTTAGTAAACTAAGGAGAAACAAGGATTGAAGTAATAAGCAAACTTTTGTTGTTAAATAGAAATTTATTTAGAATGAGTTTCCCCACTAGAGGTCACTAGTGTATCATCGCAAACAGCGTAAATGCCTTCAAGTCCCTTAGTTTCCCTTTCCTGGCCCCTAAATGGCATTGCTGGTGCCCTTTTGTTTATTCAGAGTCTCCCTTGCAGGTGTCAGAGACATATGTTATGACACAGTGACTTGGCTGTCAAGCTAGCGATGTCCCACGTGGGCCTGATGTTCTGTAAGTGAAGAGCCTCCACCAGAACCTCACAGCTTTTCTGCCCTTTTGCTGGGCCGTGGTAGAGCCCAGTGAGGTAACTGACAGTGATGGGAGCTCTAAGGTGAAAAGACACCGTGGCAATTCAGTATCATCCTTTAATTCAGCACAGACATGTTGGCATTTTATCAGGTAGAAAATTAAGGAACTGAAATGAACATTTATTTAGTCATTCAACCAACATTCATGGACGCACGTAGGCACTAGGCTTGGCTGGAAGAAGAGAGCTGGTAGTCTCAAGGAATTGAAGAATCAGGTATAGAAGGTTTCTCTTCAGATGAAGTTAGTGCTTGCAGACCATCATGCTGGGCAGCCTGTGTTCCTCGGATTTTCTTCTTTACTGGTCCCAGCAGACCTCAGGACAAGCACGAGTTCCCATTGCAGCACAGCAAGGATCGTGACTTTTTTAAGTTGATGACACTTTTCTCAGATAACATTAAGAGTTGAGTCCACCTACTGAAGCACATAGATTCTTGCAAATGTTAAAATGCAGAGTTGCGTTGAGGCCCATGGCACTTATTAGAAAGAAAAAAACTACAAAATACAACTTGATTTATTGCAAACTTGTAGTGGTGACTTGTAATGATGCTTCCTCAATCGCCAGCTAGTGCAGATCTTTTTTTTCCTGTATAGACACCCACCCCTGCCCTTGGAGCCTTTTTGTAGTATTTCTCTTGAGATAGTTGTATAGGAAGGGAAAAGAAAAACAGGGACATGTCATAGAAGTCACGATTATTCAAGTCAGAGGTTTGGGGAGAGGCAGTCTGCAAAAAGTCCTTAGTGTCATAGAGCTCTGCCCACTGGTACCAGACTAGTTCTTGGGGTATGTTTGCAGAGAACTCTGAGGGGTGAGGTCATGCCCCCCCAGCCGTTAAAGAGTGAGTGTGCCTCCACTTTCTGTGAAAGCAATGGCTTCCCTGGGCTCCTCTCCACTGTGCGTGGAGGCACCTGCGTGGGTCCTCTGCCCTCCACTGTGGGCCGAGGGGACATGGAAGCACGCAAACCAGCACGAAGAGCACGCTGCTGGTGAGCCGTGAATGGCATGGTCAGGGACTCTGCCCAGGTATTGAGTGTCTTTCTCCAGCATCCATGCAATCTTATCCCACTAACTCAGCGGTGTGTAAGTCATATAAAACCCGGGATCTTGACAGATCCCCAGATAAACAGAAAACAGAATTATGCCTATGTACTGAAAGTAAGAAAAGCCATTAGCAGCCTAGCATTTTAGAGCCTCTAGCAACTCATGTGCATTCTCTTGTAACATACCAGTTATCATGGTAATCCTGACTCCTGTGCCCTTCAAAGAATCACTTTAGGTCTTATTAAATCAGAAGCCCCTTTGTGCTCCCAGAGCTCAGTTCAGTCTTGATTTTCAAGCAAATTATTTTATACAAATGTAGTGGAACGTGTACCTTGCTGAAATGATTGATAATGCTACATTCATGCATAAAGAATCATAGAATCCCCAAAGCATAACAGTTGGAATCGAGCAGCTCAAAGACAACTTACTCTGGAAAGCTTCCAGAACCTGTGGCAGCAACTTGCCAAGCATTAGATGGTCAGACACAACCAAACCATCAAAGGTGGACTCTTGAATATGGGGGACCATTCACTGCAATTCACAGCTCATGTTATTTGATAAAAGCCTCAATGTTATTTTAGACAAACTCAGAAAAGCAGAATTAACTCTATTTCAAGCCCTCATTGAAGAAACACAGATCTATAACCAAGTGACTCATCCACCAAAGCCTTATGGTCAATTTATAGTTGGATACTCCACAGAATCTAGCTCATAATGAACATGAAACTAAACTTTTAAAATAATAAAAGAATGAAGAATTGAATGAACAAAGATAGGTAGAGTCAGATCTGGAATCGAGGTTTCTTCTTCTTCAAACTGATGCTTGTGCATGCGTGATGGATCAGGATTTCCCGAACCAGCCACTTGCATACCAACATTGTGATTTCTGCTACGTTCAATGATCCATTTAGTTACCATTATTTTTGAACTTAGCTTTGTTCTAATCAACATCTGCCCATTAAGGTTAGTTATATTATTCATGTTTTCCTATTATAATGAAATGTGTAGCTATTTCAAAAAGCTGATCATATACAACCAGAGGCACAGGCATCAATCTTTGGGAAACTCTGATTATGACAAAACATTTTCTAGAAGTCTAGCATCAAGACTGCATAGAATCAAAAAAAAAAAAAAAAAGACTGCATAGAATCATACCTAATTTTTTTTTGGTTTTTTTTTTTTTTTCATTTTAAAAAGTTCAAATCTTGATTCCATGGAGACCCCAAAATCCTTATGAAATCTCACTTGAGAAATGCTAAAAATACGCCGGTGACTTCTTATATTTTCTCCATCAAACAAAAGAATGAAAATAATCCTGATGAAGATACCCAACTGTTGGTTATTATCAGGAAATTATATTTTGAGAAAAGTATACATGAACAACTGAATTTACCAAGCAGCAATATGGTGAACTAGTAAGTCTAGTTTTGAAATCAAGTTTTGACATATAGATTATATTCTTTACTCACCAAATTCTGGACAGCATTTACTCTCCAATGAATTCAACAACCTTCCAAGGGAAATAAGTAAAAAAGGTAAATGTGAGTCTTATTTAGGAAAGAGATAAAACACATTTTGCAAATTAATGAGCTTAAAGTAGCAACACCTGGTTACACTTGAAAATTATCAAAATGTCTCCATTTAGCATATTTCATTTTAAAATATCCACAGTGTATTTAGAACCCTCTGATTAAGTGAGTTAGAAGTTTTTATGTGCATGGTGGAGAAAGTCAGACTGGAACATCAAAATGATCTTGAAGTTCTCCATTTTGTGATTTATCATTTTTCCCCTCACATAATACATTGACCTAACAACAGCTTTCAGTTTGTATTTCTCCCCGTTTTTATTAATACTATTTGTTTTATAATATGAATATCTGATTTTCTACATCAAATGAATATTCATCTTGTAATCAAACATGTCCATGCAGTTAAAACTGTTTTCTATTTGTCTTTTATGTTTCCCTTATTCAGAAAAAGGAAACTTTTATGGCTGTTTTTAAATCATTTTTTTTCAGTGAAAAATATAATGCAAATATGGAGCACTACATAACTTAGATCTATATGTAGTAAATGTTCATAAGGCATTTCATAAAATTTCAACTTCCTTTTTGTGTACGCTTCAGCATGTTGATCTTTTTTGTCACCTGTTATTTCAATTTTTTTCTTGTTTATTCCAGGGTACAGTTTAACTATTAGCAATACTGTTTTATCCAGTTTGCAACATTCTGTGAATGATATATTGCTTACTAATCTAAAAGTCATCCTTTTGTATGTCATCTTTTTCAGTTAGTTTTTCTAAAGATTTTATTTAAAATTTAAATTATCTAGCAAGGTAATGTGTGGCTCTGGAATTTTAAAAAAGACAAATACCCTATAATTACCATTATCCTACTTTATGGCAAAAATGTTCTTATATTTAAAAGGTTTTATTATTTAAGGGTGACTCCATAATAAACCATTGGCTTTTTGGTCTCCTTTTTAAAATTATGTGTTTTAAGTGTTTTTTGAATCTACAAATTTTCTTTCCCTTCTTCCACCCCAACCCCCAAGTACAATGTATTTTCTTTTTGTTGAAGAAACAGGCTTTGATTTTAATGCTTTTTGTCCTGTTGTTGTTTTGTACCATAACCAGATTTTGCTGATTTTTTTAAATAAATCTTTTTGTTTGTTTTAAAGATTTATTTATTTATGCATATAAGAACTGGGGTTTAGGCCAGAGGTGTGGGGGTGAGAGGATTCACCAGAGACAGAGTGGGGAGCAGAACAGGTGGATCTACTGAAATACACTGCTGAGGGGAGCAGCAGGGAGACAGGAGAGGTCTGCTGTGTGATGTGGGCAGCTCCCTGGCAGGGGATCGAACTCGTGGCTGCAGACAGCTTCATAGGTTGCATCTTGCGCCACGAGGGAGGCCCAGATTTTGCTAATTTTATCCAACATATTCTCCTGTGCTCAATATTTCCTGTTAAAGTTCTGGTTTATGGGCTTGGTCAGGTCAAGTTGCAATGTTGTGGACTTTGGCAAGATGATTTCCCAGGCAGCGTGTTCTTCTATGAGGAAGTCAATGCTTAGTCTTCACAATGTTAGTGAGGCTGGTGCTCAGGATCTAGTCCATGTTTTTCTAAAGGCTTCTTCATCCATCCCCACTCCAAGACTGTTAGACATTATTTTCCTAGCCAAACCCACCCCTTATGAAATTCTTTTGCCAAACTTGGGGAGCCATTATTTCTTCAAATATTTTTCACTATCATGCTCTTCTTCTTCTGCTGGACTCCACTGGGACAAATGCTAGATCTTTTTCACTGTCCCTCAGATTACTGAGGATTTGTTTGATCAATTATTTTTCTGTTGTTCAGATTGGATAATTTCTACTTAATTATCCCCAAGTTCACTAACTCTTTCCTCTGATCTCCATCCTGCCAGATGGATGTTCTCCCAGACATCCATCTTATAACTTACACTGTGCTGCTTAGCTATTTGATTACAACTTCCATTTCAGGATTTGTCATGATTTCTTGTTCAAATATTTTAGAATAGCTGCTTAAACTCTTTTCCAGATCCTCTCAGTGTTGGTATCTCTTGATGGTTGTTCTCATGTGAATTCAGGCTTTTATGATTCTTCACAAGCTGAATAACTGTGGTTTGGATCCTGGATATTTTGACTGTTACATTCAAAAATCCTAGGTCTTGTTTAAATGCTAGAGAATGTTCACATGTTTGTATCATAAGGAAGTTGAGTGGTTAGGTTAAGTTTCAATCCACCTTCTTTGAATTGTGGATCCAAATTCATTGTAGTTTGGAATGTCTTTGCAGTGCTTCATTTTTACATAATTCTAAAAACCCTAACAATAATTCAATTAACTAGGTATTATGATTCTCAGTTTATAGATAAAAAAGAGAAGTTTGATTTCTGCCTATATCACTAGCTATTGATCTGGATAAGACATTCACTGAGCCTTGATTTCCTCACCTATAAAATGGATTGATAATGCCTAGGTCATTGGATAATGGGTTGATAATGCATAGATCACTGGATTACTTGGGGACTGAGTAAAATAACACAGATAGTATGCTTAGCATAGTGAAAATCCTAAAGAAATTGTAGCTAACCTTCACATTACAAAAAGGTCAGTTTTATTGAGGAAAAATAAAACACAGTAAAATACACACATTTTAAGTCACAGATGAATTTGACATTTTATACACTGTGCGTCCATCACTCCAATCAAGATAGTAGAGTGTTACAGGGCAACCCCAAGAGTTTGTTCAGGACTTCCTTTTCCCCCAACAATAGGATATTTCCATTACGTGTCAAGTTCTCTCATGCCCCCTTGAATGAAAACAGCATCACCCAAACTAGACGATGACATTAAAAAACCTAAAAGTCAACACAAACACAAAGTATTAGGAGATCAAATTCAACAACTGCTGCCAGACAGTCTGTGTAATTGTGAGTCCAGTCCCATGAATTTATAAGAGATATTTGCACATGCCAAGTTCATCAGCAGTCTTATTAGCTAGAAGTTGGCAGCAACCCAAATGCCCATCAATGGATGGAGGGATAAAATGTGGTTCGCACACACAACAGACTACAATTCAGCCTTAAAAAGGAAATTCTGAAACATGTTGCCACACAGATAAACTTTGAGACTATTACACTAAATGAAATGTTCCAGCCACAGAAAGACAAATCCTGCATGATTTCATCTACTTCATGAGTAAATGAGGATCCAACTCAGTCAGATTCAGAGACAGAATGGTGGGGGGGGGGTTGTTTCAATTTTGAAAGATGAAGAGGAGGAGGTTGGTTGCATAACTGTGGATATACTCAACACGACTGACCTGGACACTTGAAAATGGTAAAATGGCAACTGTTATGTCATGTATACTTTACTGGGAAAAAAAAAATCCTGTGCTTCTAGCAAAAACAAAAAACAAAAAACAAAAAAACTGCTTTTAACAGTTCTTCAGTCTTTGGTGTTCTGTTGTTTCCGCACAGTAGGTCCAGACCCGGGACTGTTTATCTTAGCCCTGCTGAAGTGTTAGTGCTTCTGGAATCAGAGAATCCAAATCGTCCACAATCGTGAATAATCTGTCCTGGCTGCCCTTCGCCCGCCGCCCTGGCCTCTCTAGTCTCCGGCATTCTCGTCGCATTTAGGCGGGACGGTTCCTGCTCCCACTCCGAAGCGCCCACAGTGCCTTCTAGGAACATCCCTCGACTGTGGCCGGTCCGTCCAGCCAAAGGTCTAGTTCTCAAAGGTGGGTCGGGGGTGTTTAAAGCGCACCCCCAGAGGGCGCGGGCGCGGGCTCGGGTCGGCCAGCGGGGCCCGCAGTGGGGCGCCGGGGCGGGGGGGGGGGCGACGCGGAGCCGAGCGGCGGCGCCGAGCCAGGGCCGGGCCGCCTCGGCGCCCCCTTTTACTCAACAGGCACCACAAACTCGCCGGCGCGGCCCGGCGTCCAGGGCGCGCCTGGGAAGCGCCTCGCGCGACGACCCCGGGCCCCGCGCGGGTGACCTTGAGCGGACCCCGCGGGCGAGGGGCCGAGGCGGGAAGGCGCCCCCGGAGCGCTGGGGTGTGCCTCGAGTCTGGTCTTCAAGCGCCGTGCGCGCCGCGGAGACGCCAGCCCGGCGGGGGGCAGCGCCCGGGCCTGACCCCGGGGACCCCTCGGGGCCGGGCAGCTGGGGGGCGGGCCGCGCCCCCGCGGGCTGCTCGCTCCGGTCCACAGACGCCCTTTTCCGGGGCTTGCGCGACCGCTCGCCCGACGGGGCGGGTCGTACCAACCTCACTCCCCGCAGCGGCGGGACTGCCGGGCCGGCGTTCGGACCCGCTTTCCGGAGTCCCGTAGGGCTCGGGCGCAGCCGCGCCAGCCCCAGCTTCCGGGCGGCTCCCCGCTCTGCGCGGCCATTGGCTGCGGCGCCCTGGGCCCGCCCACGGCGGCCTCCCTCCTGATTGGGCGCCGGTGTCCTTTTGTTAAGGCAAAAGGCGGGCCCCGGGGGTTTGGCGACGGGACGCCTGCGGCGCAGGGCAGCTAGTGCGCAGGCGCGCTTTCCTGCGTCGTGATTGGCGGGCGGGGCGGGCGGGGCGGGCGGGGCGGGCCCCCCCGCGCCGGCGCCTGCGCCCTGGGCGGCGGGGCGGAGCGGCCGGGGTCAGTCGGTCCAGGAGTCGGGGCCTGAGGTGGCCTCGCGATCCCCCCCCTCCGGGCGCCTGTGTGGCAGGTGAGGGCGTCCGGGGCGGCGAGGGAGACCCGAGCGGCCGGAGTGCGGCCTCGGCCCCGCCGAGACCCGGAGGGCGGGGCGGCCGGACGCGGCCCGGGCGCCGGGGGGCGCGGCCTGGGCCTGGGCTGTGGCGGGCGGCCGGGCCTCACCCCCGCAGACCCCCGCGCCCCGCCCGCGCCCCTGCTCCCCGCCCGGAGGCCCTTTGGGGGGGCCCCGCGCCTCGGGCCACCGCCGATCGGAGGCCGCTGCTCAGCCCCCCGGCGCCCGCGCCCCGAAACGGGGCGGTGCGAGGGGCGCGGGGCGGCCCCGGCCGCCCAGGGGGTCCCGGGGGCTCCGCGGAGGCCGGGGCGCGGCGCGGGGTCGCCGAGACGGGGCGGGCGGGGCGGGCGACGTCTGCCCGCGCGGAGGGCGGCCGGCGGCTGCGGGGGCTCCGCGGGGCGCTTCCCCGGAGGGCCCTGCCGGGCGGGCGCGGGGGCCGGGACGGAGAAAGGCCCCTCCCGGCAGGCCGGGGTCCGCGACCGGGGCGCGCCCGCGGTGACGTCACAGCCGGGGCAGACGCGGCGCCGGGGGCTGCGCCCGCCGGGCTCTGCGGGCCGCGGTGCTGCCCGGAGCTCGGGGACCCGGCTCCCCCTCGCCGGGCTCGCTGTGGGCATCTGGCTTCTGCTCACATCCTCTTCGGGCCAACAGTTCCTTCATCTTGTGACATTTGAAACTGCATTTAACCCAGAACAGGCAGGAGCGGACCGGATCTGCACCTGCCACCCCTGTGGAGAGTTAGTGCAGCTGGAAGGGAATGAAATTTATCGTCAGTGATTTAGTAGAAATATCAAAGGAATTGAACATCTCGGCTTGCGGAGTGTTTGGCAACCACAGATTGTGGCCCTACTACGTTTCTCCCGGAGCATAATGGGAAGAGCAGGGACCCGTATACCTAGATCTGAATTCGAATTCTTGGCACAGGCTTTGGCTGTGAAATCTAAGTCAGGGTGCATGGCCCTTTTGAGACAGTGTCCAAATCTGTAAATTGCAGAGTCTTGTTGATTCCATGAACCAGGACTGTCGGTGAAGCATTTAGTAAGTTAACGCACAATGCCATTATTTTAGTAGTCTCAGTAATATGACATGACGAAAATCCGTTCAGATGCAAAGAAGTTGAGTGATTGAGACGGGATAGGTGTCAGGTAAAAGCCTCAAGATCTCAAATTTCAGATGTGAGCACACCTGTGGTGGGTTGGTGGGGGACAGCGAACGAGGACACTGGTTCTTGGCCCTGTGGAACTACTGTCAGGTATGGGTAAGGCATTATCCCTGGCCTTGATTCATTTATTTGTAAAATGAGGCAGCTGGACCAGATGAATTCTTTTTTGTGGCCTGGATTACTGCTAAATGGTAGGGAAAATAGCTACCGTTCATTGAATACCTGCTTTGTACTAGATACTGTTGCAATCACATTATATGTATCAACTCCATAAATTCTCACAACCTATGGGCTGAAAAAACTAAGACTGACATGTTAGTCTTGCCTGAGGTTCCAGAGTTTATACATACCAGAGCTGCGACTTGAATCCAGGTAATCCATGGATGTTGCAATACTATTGGGCATACTGGAGAAGGCAGAGATCTATGGTAGTCTTTGGTCACAGGTGTGAGGGCATGGAAAATAGATTTGTCCTAATGCTAGTAACTTCTTGGTATTTTTTCTCTGTGCCTTCTGCTTCCTGGACTTAAATTATCTAAATCTAGATTTAATCTTCCCCTGCCTAAAACCAGAAAAGATAGGCAGTAAAATTCACTGTGATTTTTGAGAAAAATTTTAAGAGGTCTGACCTAGGTTTAAGTCAGAGTTGGAAAATCTCAGAGAATCATATTCATTTCGGAGCCAAGATTTGGGATAAGCAGACCAACCTTAGCACCCCACATTCATACCAGTGTTCAGACACTGATACGAGTTGAAAAGGGGCTCTTTTGAGCACATCTGAGATGGAAATGGGCCAATGTGATAGCAACTACATATTGAAAAAAGGATTTTATCAGAATCTTATGTTGAATTATGACATAGTACTGTGCTACGAACATAGACATGGCAAAGTTTAAGGACTGATCCTATTTTGAAAGAAAATAAAATCCATGGCTAAAATACTTTGATATAAAGAGCTCGACAAACCTTTTGTATAAAGTAAATATTTATTTCTTTATATTTACTGAAAGACTTTGTATTCAAGAGTAGTATTTTGAGGCCAGTTGATTAATGGCATCACAATAAAAGAGGATTGCTTCTTTTCATTTTGTTGTGCTTTAATGTTCTGGTCTGCATCATTAAAGAGTAATGTCCTTTTGCCCGGCTTTTTTCATTTTGCTTATCAATATGTACATTTTACATAATTTACATCAGACAGGTTTTGCCTTGTGCAACGCTTGGGGTGCAATCTTACATGGACTGCAGCGTGTGTGCGTGCACAGTACTCCTTGAGAGTTGTGTGTTGTCTCCTGTGCACCGTCCGCATGCCCTCTGTTTGTGGTCTTGCCTCCACCCCACCATTGAAAGTATTTTTCTAAGTAATTATTCCTCATAACTTCCTTGACCCTGCTTTATTTTCTTCCAGTTTTTCCGATAAGTCAAACTGTTGATAAACCACACATAGATTTTCTATTTTGAATTACATAACTCATATAACTCTACCTTTTCTTCACCTACATTGGTCAGTCAAGAACACTTAGATTTTGTTGACTTTTTGATTTAGTATTAGATTGAAAGAGAAGCCAAAAAAAAAAAAAATCTACCGTTTCCCTACACGGATTTCAAAATCAGGTGCATTGATTTCATGGTTCTTCCTTTGGTTTGTATCTTACAACGCTGCTCAGCTGTCATAAAGATTCTGTGTTAGCTGCATTCTTTAAAACATTGGATATCAGAAATTGGAAGCACATTTATTAGACTAATTAGCAGGAAAAATAGGCAAGTTGCTGTCTAGGGTTGCCATCTGCCCCAAGAACACTCACTTTTGCTTTTTGGCTTTAGCCCCCAGACGCATGTCAGCCAGATAGTGGTTGAAAAGGAAGAAAAATGTTTTGTTCTTGGGGAAGTGCCAACTAAATCTTTCACTGCTAACAGCTCTTCCTCTTCAGTTATGAAGAGATATTGATTGATGGCAAGGAATACTTTTTGAATACTATTAACGGTTGAATAACACATTTTGAAAAAATGTTTAGTAATCAGTCTTTATGTAAGTGTGTGTATAAAGTGCATTATATATATGAAATACAGTGCATATATACACTTACTTTCTCTGAAATACAAAGAACCTGAGAGTTAAACCCATATGAAAAGATGTGAGAGTAGCTCTAATGCCAAGTAAGTGGAAAGATGCTAGAAGAATTGGAGTAGATCAAGCATTAAATCAATTTTATATCATTTGTGGCTACAAATTCTTTAATGATTCTATGTAACGGATGTTTAATTTTGTTTGATAACTGGGTGATAACTTGAGAGATGGTTTATACATACGTTCACTGAACATTCCTTTTTCATATTCGTCTATCTGAAGTGTCACAGTCATATTAACCAAAGTTGTGAGGGAGTATACTATACACCGATTACAATTTTAATTGTGATTCTAGCGTCAGTATGTAAATATCCTTGTTCAATAGGTTTGGGTTCCACTGTTTAGCTTGTGGAGGCATAACAATACCGTGGGTATAATAGATGCTTAATAAATATTTGAACTTAATATAACAACCCGACAGGTCTAAGTTACTTAAGTGAGTAGACTGGATAACAAATCTGTTTTCAGTAATAATCTTATAACATTATTTAATAAATTTTGACCTCATGGAATGTGAAATGAATGTTAGGAATAAAGCAGAACATTTTTCACAAGAATTTTGAACCCTAACATTTTGGAACCTTTAATGGAAACAATAAAATGCTAGTATTTATTTACATATTTTTTGAATTGTCTGTATAAACAGTATTGAACACTATGTAAAACAGTACATGAATATTTTTAGAGATTTGTCTTCTCCCTACCACCATCCTTCTAATATAACAGCTTTTTTCATTTTGCTTATCAATATGTCTATTTTACATAATTTACATCAGTGAATATGTGATTTTCTAAACATTTTTACATGTGGTTATAGTCATCATAAATACTTTTAGTAGCCACTCAAATAGAAACTGCAACTATGATTAACCAAATCCTGAATGGATAGTTTGTTGGTTATAGTTTACTGGGTTGCAAATAAGATTGGATTGTGGTTTCAATGTATGTATTATTTTCCTTTGCAGTTTTCCTTAGATTAAACTTATAAGAGTAAAATTCGTTACTAAAAAAAATATTTAAATGTTTTTATGACTCATTACCATACTGCTTTCCCCCAAAATTGCATTTTTAAAGTTTGTGTCCAATATGTTGTACTTGCTTTTCACAATTTTGCTAGCATTGCTCATTACCTTCTTTAAAGAGTGACTTGATAAGTAAATATACAGTGGTGCTTTATTATGTATTTCTTTGATTACCAAGAAACTCCACATTTCTCTTACTAAAACATTACTTTGGAAACTATTTGTACACATCCTTTGCTTATTTACCCATTGGGTGTTTATTCTTAGAAACAGTAAAGCCTGTGAAATTAGTTTTCTTTTAAAAACAAGCTTCTATTTTATTGGTATGTTTGTCTGTTTCAAACTTTTTCTAATTGCAGACCGTTCACCAAGAATTTTGTATCCAAGACCCAAAAGTTTGTTACCTAAGATGATGAATGCAGACATGGATGGTATATTCTTTGTCTTTCTTTTTTCATGTTGTGTGGCTGCTTTTGTTTTATTAACAATGGAAAGAGCAGTAAAGCAGTATTTGGGGGGCTTGGATCTTGGCTGATTTGTGTATATACATCCCTTCTAGTTCTAGAAAGGATTTAAGACATTTTCCATTCTCTAACTGTGAGATGTTGGTAAAACATTTTATCTTCACCTTGGTATCCTTATTTACAGTGTGGGTGAATAGCTTTTACGTCACAGGGCTTGTATATAACTCAAGTAAAATAACGAATATAAAATATTTTGCAGATTTTTAAGTGCTGCACTATACAGATGATACCTAATGTTAATAGTAAATATAAACCTTTTTATTGCAGCAGTTGATGCTGAAAATCAGGTGGAACTGGAGGAAAAAACACGCCTTATTAATCAAGTGTTGGAACTTCAACACACTCTGGAAGGTTAGCTTGTATTTTGTAGTTTTCTTGAACAGCATCTAACTCATTGAAATTGTAAGCATTAATGATGCTAAATTTCGTTTGCGAGTGTGCCTGATTTTTCAGTCCTTTTTAATGGTCCCCCCTTCCTGTAGCTTTGGCTGGTGATCTAGGATACACTTCAGTAGGAAGGCACATAGTGTTCTTACACTTCCCTTTTAAGATCTAACATAAGCTATTTAATACATAAAACTCCTTTAAGTTCCTGTATTGTGTTACTAAATTCACTTTAATAAAGCTTTCACTAAAGTAAAAATGTTGTAGATTCAGAGGTTAAAAGGGAATTGATCTGGTATTTTTCCTTTTCTAAATGTTATTACAAAAAATAAGCACAATCACTGAAATATCTTTTGGTTTTTAATAAAATTAAGGTTTTGTTTTTGTTTTTTTGATACCAAGGTGAGCAGACCCTGTCACAGTTAATAAAATGCCAGGTGACTGTCGGAAGGGCCATACTCCCTTGTGCCTCTCAGGCTTGTGTTACTCTTCCTCAGACATCCCCACTCCTACCTCCCTGCTCTTCTTTCACGCGTTTGTACGCAGGGCTCAGCAGTTGCTGTTCCTTCCTGCTTACATCTCTCTCTCTCAGTTACTTGCCTACCTCCAGTGCCATTCCCTCACTTCCTTGCGGTCTGTGGTCAAATCCCCTTCATCAGAGTAGCCACGCCTGACTAGCCCGTGTAAAAAGATAACTTCTCTTTGCTTCCTGTGACCCTTACCTCTGAATTCCTGACCCTTACTCTGAGCCCCCTTAAATGGACGTGCGTCACATGCACATCACAAGGTAAGCTCAGCCAGGGCAAGGGCCTTTCTTTTTGCTACCCTGGCCTGTAGGGCGATGCCCGGCTCCTAGAAGGCGCTTAATACTTAGTAGTTAAGTGAGGGGAAGGAGGTAATGTTTTATTTGATCAAAAACTGGGTGTTTGGAATTTCTTGCTAATATAAAAATATCACCTTGGAAACTGCCTATGTCCAGTATATGAATTCTAAACATTTTTAATATAGCTTTATGTTGGCAAGTCTTGAGCCAAAATTCATGTTAAAATCAAGATTTTTTTTTTAAATAACCGTTTGAAGTATTAGATATGCAACCTAAATGCTGTTTACAAAGAGCAATACTTAGTCTTGACGTGAACTCTATTAGGAATGTTGGCTATTGATTTGCACTGTTTACTCTGTTTCCTTAGCTTTTGAAGTAATCTAAATTTAAACACAGAAAACTTAAGGGTTGTGGTAATCTCTTTGAAGAATGGATCTTAAAAAGCATTTAGTATGTGAAACTATTGCCATCATTTTATTGATAATGCCTTTTTTTTTTTTTTTTAAATATAGATCTCTCTGCAAGAGTAGATGCAGTTAAGGAAGAAAATCTGAAGCTAAAATCGGAAAATCAAGTTCTTGGACAATATATAGAAAATCTCATGTCAGCTTCTAGTGTTTTTCAAACAACTGACACAAAAAGCAAAAGAAAGTAAGGGATTGCTGTCCCTTTGGTTTTATGGAATTGCTGCTGGTCTTTTTTTCTTTAAACTTTGGATAGCTTCCAAGGTTATAGTACTTTTGTTTGTGGCTTCATGGAATATTTATGGAGATGATGTCAGATCTAGGCAAAATTAAGAGCATAACAGAAGACTTCATGAGTTTGTGTATTATGTTAGTCTATGAAAACGTGCAAATGTATTGTAGAGACTTTATAATTAGAAATGCATATATTTATGAAACTTGAAAATGAATGTTTTACGGAATTTCCTTTGATTTATAGGTTTAGCACTGTCTTTTATTAGGCATAGTAAGAGAAACGAGAAAATAACCGCCATGTTGTGAAAGTGACCAAATCATGTACTGAATGCACAGCTTTATGTACCTGTCCACCGTCTTGTGCCTCTGCTCCATTTGCTTCTTCCTTCCCACCTCCCTTCCCCTAGGGAAAAATCGGTTTCGCATTTGTAAAAGTAATTTCATTAGTTATCATCTGTGAAAATAACCTGAGCTTAACTGTTGAAACTTAACCAAAATAAGATACTGTCTAAATTAGGACTTGTTTTTTACTTTCAGTGATAGGGATAGTGCTGATGGTTTCTCTTTAATCAGCTGGAAACAGAGGCTCTAAAAATGATTTTTCCTTGGAGCTTAATTGTCAAACTGGGAGTTAACTTACTTGGTATATGAAAAGGTGAGTTCTGTTTGATGTTTGAAATAGAAATTTTTGAAGAAAAATAGAAGTAAGTTGGAGAAAAGTACTTGGTAAACAACTTCAAATGTTTTTACATCAGATTTGTGTTATTTCTGGCACAAGTTAGATCTTTGGGGAATATACACGAACATGGATTGCTTTACTAGCCTTCTCCACATCTGGAGAAGAATATTGCAGAGCTTGGGTTTAAGGTTTTTTTTGTAGTACTCAGAAGATCAACGTTTGCACAATCTCTTGAGTGTGTTAGTATCAGAATCATGAATAGAACGGGGAAGTTTTACATGCGTACTAATGGGTACTTTTTTCAGTATTTCGTCTCACCACTCCTGCAGTTTTCTGCAGACCAACCACTTGGTTCTCAGAGTTGTAGTCATTCTTTAGCAATTTTTAAAAATGTACTTTGTAAATTCCACTTGGTAAAGTCAGTATGAGGAATGGGGTTACCTAGGGAGAGGGACGCGCCGATACGGCTTATGGTTGCTAGACTTAGGCTCCTGTAATCATGGAATAAAGTGATGTTTGCACTGGTGTAGGGTCCACAGACAGCTCAGCTGCATGGACATGAGTCACGCTGCAAACATTTTACATCCTTTTGTGAACTAATTTACAAACATTTAAAATTGTGTTGCAGTTATGTTTTTGCTGTTTAATAAAAAGTTGTTTCAGAGATTTGTGTGTTTTGATATGTTTGTCTAAATAACCAGGATATATAGTGGTGTATCCAGCGTTGTTCAGAGCCTCAGTTTAAGTAGCAAATTTTGTTTATGTAAGTTACTTGATGTTTAGGGGAATAATATACTTATTATTAAAATATATGCACATTTTAAAAATAAAAGCAAAGAATTCAAAGGAAAGAATCTAAAGTTGTCAGAGGAAATGTGGTTGCAATTTTTGGGATAAGCTAAGCTTCCATAACGAAACATAATGATAAAAAATATAAAATAATACAGAAGTTTCTCTCCCAACTAATACAAGCATTGCAAGCTAGCACATTTTGTTCCTGTAATCTCACTCAGGGACTTGAGGATGTTCTGCCATTATCAGCTATGGCTTCTAAGCCACTCCAACCCCATTCTCTGTTACAGAAAAAGCATGTTGCATATAAGCCAGTTGTTATGGGTGGGGCGTGCCTGGAAATGGGTCTATCTTACATCCCAGTGGCATGCAGATTTAATTACTTCTAGATGCGATGCGGAGGAGCTGAGAAATGTGTTCCCTGGCTGGAAGCCAAATTCCAGTCACAACTTTATATTACTATGGAAGCAGAAAGAGGGCTTTGGTGACAACTAGCAGCCCAGTCACAGCCCTGTTACTACAAAGTCTCTGCACCTTCTTCCCACACATGGAACATACATCACCCTTCCTTGTCCAGTTACCATTTCCAGATTGGAACAAAAATCCTGCTAAGTCAGCTTAAAATTTCCCTACCCGTAACACCTGATTACCCTGCCCTGCCTTCAGCAAGCATCCTTTTAACACGGTAAACTTCCCACTACCCTTGATGTCTCCCCTTAATCTTGTACTCACCTCCTGCCACTTGCTCTGACTATAAATCTCCAGCTGTTTGTCTGCCTATTGCGGTAGTCTGGACACCTGTGTGAAGAGACCCAAGTAACATCTGCCTTACAGTTTAAATCTGTCAGGGTCATTTCTTAAACACTTAACTCCTGGCTCTAAATCCTGGTAGAATGCTGACTGGCAGGGAAAACTGACATACCCTTTTCCTCAGGGTTCCCCAGTAGAACATCTCTTGATTCTGACATTGATTCCATCTAAAATTTGTCTCTATGTTCCCTTTCCACTTAACTATGGCAAATTATGCCACATTGTCATTCTTACTTGGAATTTTTGGATGGGATTAGCTGGCTCAGAATTTGGAATTTTTCATATTTCATAAAGTAGTATGACTCATATGCCAGTGTGATTTGGGGAAGCACCTGTATGTAATCAAATAGATATTTTTTGTACCAAAATACAGAAGATAGTATTAGGTGTGGTAAAGACAATATAAACTCTGTCAGGGTAGGTCAGCTGTTAGCTGTTGAATGAGTTTTGGGGACAAACATGATCAAACATTCAATTTTCAGAGACTTTGAATTTTGGAATCGTCTATAGGAACAATACATTTTGTAGAAAAGTAACCCAAATCATCTAAGCGTGTCGTTCTCACCAGTTAATAAGGGCACATTTCCATTCCTACTCTTCCCTCTGATCTAGTCTTTTCCAAAAGAAACTTTTGAAAGCCTTTAAAAGCCTTTCTTTCCCAATAATTTTTTTCCCTCTTATCACACCCCCCCGCCCCCCGTGGCAGTCATCAGTTATTTTTTTAATGTGATGTCATCAAACATAGCAAGGATCTGAGATTACTTTAGTTGTCAAGACCTTTGTAGATGAAGAACAGAGACTGTGATTCATAAAAGGCTGTTTAAGAATTGGGAGAGAATGACTTAATTGCCTCTTACTCATCTGAAAAACAAGTTACCATTAATTTTACTTACAGAGATAAATGGTATTAAAGACAAATTTATTATAAAATGGACTTGATGTTGGTCTTAGGCCCTAATTTATCTTAGGGTGGAAAAGAGTGTTGGAGAGAGATGACAAAAGCTAAAGTAATACATTATAATCAACTGTTAATTTACTTTGTTTTGCAGCTGGTTTATAGATGGCTCGTCAAGTGGCTATGTCTTTAAAGCTCTAAATTACTTCCAAATTTTTACAAATTGTGAAAGACATTCAAATGGGCAAAAGGCGGCTCATTAGCATCTCTCCAGTGGGGCAGCAGGCGTCGCGTGGAGCATGCTTCCGGTGACCCCGACAGCAGACACTGTAGGGCCCCTCTCACCGTCTCTAGCCCGGCTATTACACAAGTCCTCGAATTATTAAAAGTGGGCAGCATGTAAATGGGCCTTACCATAGAGGTGCAAATGAATTCTGTCCCACACAAGTAAGATTTATTTTACCAAGGTCATTACCCCTCCCAAGGAAAAATATATTTCTATTACCAAATTCATTTCACAATTCCTGATTGCCACTGATTTATATATTCTTGGTTGCCTTTTTAAATATTGATACGTGCTCATTTAAAAAGAACACCCTCCCAAATGACAGAGAATGTAAAATTGCTTCGACTTACAAAGATGTGCTGAGAGATGTGGCGCCAAGATGGTTCTCCAGGGGTGCGGGTCTTCTCCACAGCTGCTGCTCCTCCTCCCTGCGCTGAGTAGCTAGAGACCAATCCAAATGCCTTTCCCCACCCATTTTTCTCTCCTACCAACCTACCTCCTCTGACCTGTCAGATTAGGGATCATTTGCTAAACTTCTCACAGCTGTTGTGCTATGAAAATGCACGGGAGCTAGGATTTTTGAAGAGATCATTAAAACCTACGTAGAAATGCTGTTAGGTCTTAATCATTTACAGAAGAGGTAGGAGTTCTCAGCTACTAGCCACCTCTAAGGCCTGCTGAAGTTAAAACAGAGCCACCCTTGAGAATTTAAAACCTCTGTAGAGCCTAGACTATGTTTCTGTTTTACCTCTTCTGAACAGTTCTAATCATACACAAAACCTTTTTCGAACAGTAACTGAAGTTTTTAAGGAAATTAAATCTGTTGTGAGCAGCTGGTTGGAACGCGGTAGCCATTCCACCCGGGCCTCAGGTCAGAGGACTCTTCCCAGAGCAACGCCCATGGAAGCCAGGCCCTCGTGAAGACCTCAGAAAAAGCAGCAACCAGAGCCAGTCAAATTAAAAACATCTAGAAAGGTCGCTCATACAAAGGCAAAATACATTGATTTTCCCCCTTTACTAGACAGAAGGATGAAATTTAAGTCATTGAACAGGTCAGAGTAGGGTGGCAGAAGGAAAAGGCCGCCTCGCTCCCCGTCTACTGCGTGGGTCTCTGGCACACGTTTCTCAGTTTAGGTTTTGGTGAAACCTCTCAGCCACAGCACACCTGCACCGGGGGTGCGCCACAGGCAGTGTTAGTGAGCCTACAAAACTGGCTGCTCGGGGTTGACCTCTGCAAGCTCATGGAGTCTAACCAAACAAAGTTGAAATGAATCTGCAACTGAGAAAGTAAAAACAGCTTTAATAAATCTTTAGGAAAAATATTCATACAAGACATTTGTCAGGCAAGGTTTCCATAAAAGTAAGAAAGGGTTTCTCCCCTAAAGGAGTAGTTCACGCTCAGCCACACTCTCATCTGGAATCGCTCAATACGTCTAGTTCGCTTGGACATTCAAATACAGAGCAAGAGAAGGGTGTCCTCGTGGACGTGGTAAGTCCAGGGAGTCATGAACAAAGTGTGGCGACCGGGTGGCCAGACTGTCCAGCCCTGACGCGGGGACACGCAGAACCCGCCAGGGGAACCCAGCGTGTACTTGCAGTCTCCACTCCAGGACAGCGAACAAATAGTTGCTACTGGCTGGGTTCGGCTTCCTTTCACACAAGGAAGATCCACAGACTGGTCTTCCTTACACGAAGGCTCCAAATGTGCTGCTGGAGAGGGGGCTGCATGGGGACTCAGTTGGGAGGTGCCCCCTGACCGAGTAAGCAAGTCTGCGAGGGGTCAAAGCATCACTGGGGACCATCTCTGCGGTGGCTGCTGTGTGGGCGGTTCTGTGCTATCAGCTCCCCGGGGTCTGACCTGTCACCTTAACATGAAAAGCTCTTAAACTATTTCCAGTGGAATAATGTCTCCATTCTGATGTGGTCCCGTCACTGGGGGAGGCAGCTGGAGGGGCTGCTGTCTACCTTAGAGGCAGCTGTGCAGCTGATGAGAGAACAGACTTAGAGTGGGAAATGAGATGAAAACACAAAGCATGATGACTGATCGTCATTAGCCACTGGACTCTTAATTATCAGATAAAGGAGAATAACTTAAAGACGCCTTGACAATCATTTCCCTATTAGAGAGTGGTATAATTTAAAGAATGAAAAAAGCTTTAAATTTTATTTCCAGAGCAATCTATGCATGAGCTTGCCTGTGACTAGGGCAAGCCATTCTAGCAGAAAACTGTAAAGGTTTGGGAAAAATATGTACACCATTTCATTTCGAGAAACCTATTATTTTTGTTATCAAATGTAAAATATGCTGCACTAATAGCCAGTGATTCTATGAATGACAGACGTTTGTTTCGTCGACTTGCCTGTCAACAAAGCACCTCTTTAAAAGAATCTATAAACTGAGTGAACAAGAGACCATGACTATAATTTGACACAAACCAGGTGAGTGTGGGTCACATACAACACTTTCAATTGCTGATAGGATCAAACAACCATACAGAAACTTTATTGCATGTAGCTCTGTACAACAGAACACACTCTGGCTTTTATTATAAAACCACCAGTTATACTGAAGCAGAACCTTGAAGAGGAAATTCCAGTAACTGAGTTCTCCCCCAACAGCAGCAGAGCTGCTGCATATTATTTCACCCTCCACAACCCAAAACGTTCTCCGAACTATTAAAACTGTGGCACTCCTAATGATACCAGTCTCTGAAATCTGATAGGTAACGTGTCACTTTTCTTTTATTCTAAATTTACAGACCAGGTAACTTCAAAGGTTTTCTTTTCCTAAAATAAATGTCTGAAGGGATAATGTGGCTAGCAGCAGAGCGGGCCGGGCGGCACCTGACTCCGGACACCCCCGCGGCGTGGACACTCGCGGCCTCACTCCTTGCGGACTCGCCTTTTGCGCACGGACTTGACAGGCCCATCTCCAGACCCCGTGCTCTCGTCTGCTTCTTTCATCTAGGAAAGAGAGTCATAGAGTGTTTATTTTGTACAATGAGTAGCAGGAAAATGGGTAAGCAAACAACAACAACACTTTTTCTGCTCTAAAATACATGCTCTCTCAGTCAGATGCCATCTCTGGGCAGCTGATCAGACTGCAGGCAAACTGGTGTTTCAGTTTGTTCTTCTGGCCCGATCACGTGCTCAGAATAACGCCGCTTATCAAACACGCGTCTGTCACGGAAGACTGCTAACAACTCATGATTCTATTTCACGATTTAGAACCTGATTCTGATGTCACAGTAAAGGCTATGTGACATCTGTACTGTGGGACATTAAACACTATTCACAACATTCATGCAGGTGATGAGCTGCTGAGCTGGCTCACAGAGACTTTCTCAGAACTTCTGGCACAGAGAACTTTGAGAAAAATTAGGAGAGAAGAAAGGGAAATACCAAATTTATGGTTTAGGTTGTTTCATTCTTAGGCATTCAAAAGAAGCATTTACATTTATAAACTCATGTAACAAAATAAAATAATGAAGGTATTATGGCCTGACACAAAATAGTTATTTCTCATAGTTACATACTACATAAAAATTGACTTCTTTGCCTCTCTCTAAAATACCTGTAAGAAGACTAAAAGCTGGGAGGCAGGATTAAGATATATTTAAAGGTGCACAGAAAGTTTTGTGAAGTAAAATGTAAGTGGAATATTCAAATCAATGAATGAACATTAACTGTGAAGAGCGTGAAGGCTGAAACAGTGAGTGTCTAAGGCTCGGCCCTGGAACAATGCGCCCCCACACATTCATGCTAGACAGTGGCCCGGACAGGTGGTTAAGACCAGTAACCTGCATATGTACTTTAGGAAACAATGAAACAATCATAAAACAAGTTTATTGGGGAGACGTCTTCAAAGAGACAAAGCAGGTCATTTCATGGCATGAATAGACCAGGCAGCCCCAAGTGATGCGGATGCAGTTCTGTCGGCTAAGACCAGGCAGCTCTTAAAGGGCTGGAGAAGCAGAGAAAACAGGCTTTGGGTAGACACTGGTGAAAAGCAAGCTCTGGCTCTGAATGACAACCAGGATAAAGTCTGATTGCATGATAGACTGAAAAAATGAGGCACAGGATAAAAAGAGGGGCAGATCTCGCCAGTAAATAGGAAAACTAGTTTGTTAAAAGATATAAGAAAAATACCGGATGGTCTCACTCATAGCAGGAATTCAGAAAACCTAAATAAGAGACCAGGAAAAAGACTAATCAATACAAAGTAAAAATCAAAATCAACAAGCAACTATAAACCAGAGACATACTGGGGAGGGGGGGGGGAAAGGAAGGACTAGAGCCAAAATAAGGGGGGGGGGTGCAATTGTACATGGAATATAATCAAAACGAAAATGCATACATTGTGCAAAGATGAAAAAAAAGATGTAAGAATTATATAAAATAAAATATTTAAATTAAAAAAAAAGATGTAAGAAAAAACACCTAAGTAGGCAGATAGTACTCCACTGCCCAGTGAATGAAATACTTCAAAATGCGACAGTAAATTATTAAGGATGATTGAGGATGATTTTACAATAGTGATTACGAAACCTGTAATAAGCAGCATTGCCTTTCACCTCTCAGACGGTCTGACGTTCTCACTAGAAATCTAGTGATAAAACATCACCTCTGAGAGATGCGGCGCTCTGTTCTGTAAAGGCCTGATATAAATTATAGTATTTTCTTGCCTTCTTTATCAAGACATTTAAAAGACAATATGGAGGCTCTTATGAAAGCTGGGGGAAATATAGCAAGACATTCGTCACAAGCCAGACTGTTACTGACGTGAGTGAGGTTACTGGAGAAGCTTTTGAGGGACAATGATAATACACAGAAGTTAGCTTATCTTGACGAAGCTTACCTCATCCTCTGATCCAGACTTATTTGATTTATTACCTTCTTCTTGTCCTTCTATGATTTCAATTTCTTCTTCACTCTTTTCCTCAGGCTCACCTTCCTCTTCTGGAAAAAGATATTTTATTAAAGACTGAGCGAATTAGGGTTTCCCCACTAAAAAGCATTAGATATAATCAAGAGTATTTACATTCCAATGTTTAATAGCAATTTCTCCCTCTAGAATTTTTTAATTACAAATATTCATCACTTTATCCCATTTTTTATAAACAAATCATCTATTTAAGAAAAGGGTAAGTTTGAAACTTTTAGGCTTCAGTGATGAAAACCCAAGACACTGTGTGTGCTCGAGAGAGAGAAGTTTTGAAATCAATTTTCATCAACTGCTAAATTAAAAGCTGTATCCTATAATTTAATTGTAAAGCGCTCTGTCCCAAACTTGGCGTGAGATACCTAGCAAATGCGGAGGTTTATTTCTCCCTAAATGTGTGGGAGGAGGTCAGTGGAATGTGACCTAGAAGCTGATGCCTTCAGAGTCAGAGTGGGTGAGAAGGGGCATGTGTTCCAGCCATCCCTCAGGAATCAAGCTGGGAACAGCAGCCGCCTTGCTGGGAACAGCAGCAAGGGAAGGCCTGGTGTTTGTGTCCTGCCGCAACCCCTGCCTATTCCTTCCGAAGCCCCTGCTCACACACTCCACCTCATCTGCTCCTCGGAGGCAAGAGAAGTCCTTGCAAAAAGCTAAGGCAGAGGGGGCCTATAGTTGCTGGGCTCTGAAACGACTGACCGATGTCTAAGTCTCTCTTTCTAGAAGACAAAACCCAGAAGGGCCCGTTGGTCACACCATCTGCAGCAGTCACGTGTTTTGGGGGATTCAGATGTATAAACTTGACAATAAGCAGGTGCCTTTTGATCTGCTGTTTTTATGAGCTTTGCCAGGGCTCCCATTGTAAGTCACTACCTCCATCTTTACCTTTTTCAAGAATTTCGCCGTCACTCTGTTTTTTTTCCTCTTCCAGGTCTGCTGGCTTCTCCTCCAGGGCTGCCTTCTCTTCCTTCACTTCTTGCTCTAGTGCCCCCTTGGTCTGGGGTTTGCACAGATCAGTGTTTTTATACTCAGCTTCTTCATATTTTTTCTGCGACAATTTAACAGAAGTTATTTTTACTAAAATCGAAGCATTATTAAAATTTTTTTGCAATATCAGACACTGTGAACTGTCAGTAAAACTTAAAGGAAATCTAGTTTATTAATTTTAAGAAGCACTCGCTCACGTCACAGAACTCCGAAACATGAACAGACTTTTCTTCTAAGTTGAAGGGAATTCATTCTCTTTACCTTTACTTTTCGTGGCCAACAAAATGAAATAATCAACACAATCGGAAGTCCTGCTGTCATGAGATAAATGATCCAAAGCCACGGGCGCTCGTCTGCGGCTGTCATTAGCTGCCTCAATATACCAGGCTGGGAGGAAACGGCAAGAATGAAGCTCAGACTTTCCAAACCTTCACGAGGAAACACAACCCACAAAAAGCAAACAAACAAACACAACAAAAAAACAACAAAACCCTCCACCAAGGCATTTTATATGAAGGAGTGATGAACCTGTAAGCCAAAAATCCTTTTATTTTCCCATCTTACACTTTGTAGACTTGCAAGTTAGTTTATCAGCACGTGTCCCTGTTGCTGCCAGTGGCTCTGGAGCAGGAGAGCTAGCTCACCCTGGGACCTGCCACCCACCAGCAGGCAAGAACAACAACAATTTCCTTCTTTTGTAAATTTCAGGACAGAACTACTCTCTATGGGTGTATTTATCTGGTTCATTTAGAAATATACAACTCTGGCAACACATCCTGTACTTTCACAGGGCTCATTAGTCAAATCAACCAAGTATTATTATTCTCCTTTTTTATGAAAAAAACTTTACACCTAAGTTTCAGTAAGAGAATTGTTTCTTATTAAAGTAAAATAAAAACTCATCAAATATGTTGGTTAAAAGAGTTTCAAAATGAGAATCCCTCTTTCTTTACCTACTTTTTTGATGTTTTTTTCTAGTGCTCCCTAAAAAACCAATTTAAGGTATGAATTTTTCTTTACATGATTGAGTTTAAAGATACATTCTCCAAGATGCACTGTGTTGAAATATTTAGCTTAACCTTTTCAAAACAGTGTTAAGATTTGGGGGGAAAAAAATTGAGACACAATTCAATAATAATGTTATGTTAAAATTCTCTGCACGCCAAGTCAAGGATAATTAAAATGAACATAAAATCATATTTGGATTAATATTACCATTTAGGTCTTGAATTGGCCAGGTGACAAAGATATTAAGTAGTCTTGTTTTCAAATAGGCGTTACATTCCATTAAAGCTATCATAACTTAATAAATGAAATAAAGACTTTAACACATATGTAGTTTATAATAAAGCCAAATATTCTGTCTAGATCAACATAAGTACATTTCTTTGACATTTAGTAATTACTGCACATTTTATCTAACGTACATAGGGCCGTTTGTCTAATCTATGACCTGGGCCATGTTCTATTTTCTAAATGCTCAATACTGTACCTCATTGGCATTTGCAACCATTATTTTGACTCCCCAACCATCTGCAGCCCAGCGATCTGCCACTTCTTTTTCGGAACAGATAATGAAATTATCAAAGTAGATATCAGAGGTCATGGACCAAAGCTCTAAACCAAGAGCGCGGAACGGAGTCAGCAGGAACGGATGGTCATCTTCAAAATAATCTGGATTAGGAATTTTTCGAGGACTCCAGACTCCCTGAGGGAAAAGAAAATTTGAAGACACGTTTAAATAAGACAATTTCACTGAGAATGCTGCTCACTACGCTGTGGCTGTTGAATGAACTCAGCAACTTTAACTGGAGAAAACAAAATGCTTTTAACTGATATTAGTTCACTAAATTTGCTTGAAACAAAAATCTTGTTCCTGCTTATTCTGCATAGGATGTTCCCTATGAATAACACTGACTTTCAACTCTGTCAAAAAAAAAAAAAAGCAAACTGAAAATTGAACACACAGAAACTGGAGGTATTAAATTTGACAGCCAGGGGATACTACTTTAGTTGGTTTTTTGTTTGTTTGTTTGTTTTTTAATTAGTAAAGATAGGTGTGGTTTTTTTTTTTTTAGATAACTTTTTTTTTTTCAATTAGTGAAGTTAGTCAAGACAAAATGTTACTAAAAAGGCCCAAATCAGAGAGGTCACTCTGGGTCAAAAATGGAGCCACTCCTTTGAACAGAAGGAGACAGCTGATATCCCTGCTCATTCAAGGCCAAACCTCGCAGCCTAGAAGCCTTGTTACATGTCAAATGACTAAACTCAGCCAACGCAAACGAGCGCCACACTGTGGTCACTCACGGACTAGCCCTGGGCCAGGCACGGCGCCACAGCTAGGGACACAGTGACCACCAAGACAGACCTGGCTCCTGTAGGTGGGATAAATGCTATAAAGAAAACTTCAGTGAGAAATTAGGATGTATAATCCACATGTGCTAAAGGTTAGAAAATGTCAATGAATAAGACAAACTGCAGGGTTAAATGGGTAACGCAGGGACTTCTACAAAAAGCCAGACACACTCAAGCGGTCTGACTCATACTAGCAAAAAATCCAAAATTTAATAATACAATAAAGTAAGGAGCACATTAATGAAGGGTAGGACCCAACCACCAATTAATCACTGAAATGTGTGACGTGACTCCCCTTGGTCAGAACTCGTCTCTTGTATTTAATTCTAAAACAGAACTTGATTCCCAAGTGACCATTAATAGTACAAAGTTCGTGATCTTCAACTTTTAACCTTATCCCTACAGATAACTAAATAATGCATGTTTTATTTTTTAGATATAAATATTTCTATTTGGAGTGTCTTTTCTCAGACCTCTAGAGGACAGCTAAGGTGCACCACCACACATCGAATTTCACAGTTAACTATCGAGAGCCAGACGCGACCACATGGTCACCCCACCGCGGGGCAGCATAGTACCTGGTAGCCCGGATTGTCTATCATCGGAGGCCTCCAGACGCCTTTGTATTTCGGGTTGTCTATCATGGGGGGCTGCCACTCACCACACCCAACCTGACACGCTGGGTTAGAAATTCGAGGTGCTTCCCACTCCCCGTCCATGTCTTCGTTCCTGAGGGCACAAGAACACAGCACATGCGGTGGCCTCAAGCCTCGCGTCAGGAGCCCGCAGGTGCGACAAGAAAGGCAGTGACACAGGCGTGAAGCCCTTACCAGTCAGCTGGCTTCTCGGCGTGCGGGTCTGGGATGAGCTGCGGCTCGTCGTCCAGCCAGCCCTCGGGCTTGACGACACTTGAGTCTTCTATTTGGGCAGGTTCACTGTCATCCCTATTAAATACAGCATTTTAGGCCAGAATTCGGGAAGCTTAAAAGTGCACTTTAAAAAACTCAGAAAAAGGGCCTCCCCGGTGGCGCAGCAGATGAGTGCTGGCTGGCGAAGCTGCCCGCAGCCTCTGCAGTGCCGGTTCGATTTCCTGCCTGCCAGGGAGAACCCCACATAGTGATGTAGACCTCTCCTGCCGCCCGCTGCTCCCCTCAGCAGTGTACTTCGGTCCTTCTGCCTGCTCTGCTCCCTGCTCTGGCTCTGGTGAATTCTCTCGCCCTCCCGCGCTTCTGACTGTACCCAGTGCTTGTATAAATAAATAAATAAATCTTTAAAAAATAAAAATAAAAAAGTAATAAAAAACTCAGAAGGCACCAAAAAGCATTTCCTACCTGCTGTCTGTGGGCTACACCTGTCCCCAGAGCCCCCAACTCTCATCTGCCTATGTCTTCTGCCACTAGGAAGGCAGAGCCCGCAGCCCCCAGGCCAAACCCCCAGAGCCAGCGTCCAGCCCTCGGGTCAGCGTCAGCAACCTCGAAGAGAGCCCAGGGCTGCCCTACCTGATGCTCCACTGGCCACGCCCAGTGCAGACCCTCAGGGGCAGAGGGAGATACCGGGGTTGCCCTTGATTGTTAAGTTTTGGGGTCATTCATTACACAGCAATAGATAACATGATGGGTGAAATACAAAAAGGCAGACTGATTGATTGATTGAGCAAATCGTTGTAAACAAAGGAAGTCTGCTAGAGGATGTGGTTACCCAATGAGGAGGGAATCAAAAAATAGATTCTTAGGAATTAACAAGATCCTTATGGAGAAATTACAAAATACTTGAAGGACAAAGGCGGCCTCGGCAAGTAGAGAGAGACGCAGGTAACTCTCAAGCCATGGGCGCTCAGGAGCTGAATGCATCTGTGTAAAGGAAAATACTCATATCCTGCAGAATAAAAACAATGCAAATACCCAGCCAGTAAAATGGCTAAGCACAATGGCCTGAGTGAATCCTACATAGTTTTATAAAGCGTCAAGGCTGCCCTGACCGTAAGACCAATCACCACTCACTGGAAAGACAGACTCCACGAAGCGTGCACGTGCTGACGGAGGCCAACGAGGAATTAAAGTGGTGGCGTTTTAGACCCACATCACTGACAGTATAAAAAAGTAAAAATGTTCCGAAAAAGGAAACACAATCAAAATTATGATTAAATAGAAATTCAGATAATTAAAAGGCAGGAGAGCACAAAATCCATTTTAAGAAAGAATCTCACCCAAAACAATAAAAAAAAAAAAGTTCAAAGAATATACTTCAGCGGTTATAGAAGTCACTGACATGTTATGTCTCATTGATTAATTATGCCAAGTTGGGGTTTGCTAGGACTGAGCCCTCAGCTTACCAGTCCTCTGGTTTGACTGCAGAAGGATCCGGGATTTTTGCTCTCTCATCCCAATCATCAGGCTTTTTGTCACTGGGATCTTCAACTTCTTTAGGAGGGTTGATGGGAGGAACCACATCCTCTAGCAGACTTCCTTTGTTTACAACGATTTGATCAATCAATACTTCAAATGTGTCATCTGGATTCAACACTGAAAACCAATTCAAAAACAAACATCATATTCATAGGTATTTTAAAGATAATCTTCTAAATAATGAAACTACCCTAAATTTCCAGGGCAAAATAGTCTCTCAACCAGAAAGCGTTATTACCAATGTGCTACAGGTACACCACAAAGGATGCTTGTTCCTGCCGAAGCGCCTGCTGTGAAATGTCATGGCAACGTCAGGCCCCAACACGCGAGGACCGAAGAACGAAGGGGACCTACCGAGGGTGTAGAGATGCGTCCTCCTGTCCGTAAAGAACTTTTTAAGATCTACGTCGGGAGGCTTGGCGTGTTTCTCTTCAAAAACTCCAGTTTTGGGATGTTTGTGTCTGAAGATAAAGTGAAGTTTATAATCTTCGCCACATTTATCTGGTCCAAACATAATGGTATAAGATGTTTTATCATGAAAGTTTTCCTTCAAAGAGAGATGAGTGATGGGATTAGCCCAGAACTATCATGTGAAGAACTGCCCTACTCTCTCCAACTGGGCAGCGTTCACAGAAGTGACCACGCACTGACTCAAAGACCCCCTTGACCAGTGATAATCACAGACGAAGAAAATGACACATCCTATTTCAAAATATATTTTTTAAAGCACATACTACTTCCTCCCTGATGAGGTAGGCGAGACTCTGAAACCAGCCCAGTAACATCTTCCTAAGCTTTAATCACGCTATGTAAGTCTGCACGGTCACTGCTGCAGAGACCAAACTGAGAGGAAAGCGCGCTTCTGACCTGCCGGCCACAGCGAGCAAGCGCCTTCTCAGGGGGACCCCAGGAAATGAGTGGAAAGAGACTAGATGCAGACACTGGTGCGCTCTTCCCGCCTCCCGCCTCCCGCCTCCCTCCTCCTCCCGCCTTCCTCCTGCAGCTGCAGGCGCAGGCTCAGGGCCTGGGCGGGTGGACACTGGGGTTCTAGCTGCCTGTGGCCTGGAGCAAACTTCTTAACCTCTCACAGTTCCACTTTATCGCCTCTAAAATACAGGCGGCACCAGTACCTACCTTACAGGGTTTCTCTGAGTTAATCAAAGTGTTTAGAAAAATATGTGGCATTAGCTTCTATTATTGCCCTTAAGAAACAAGCTTCAACACTCACCACCCCGGGCCTCCCCTTGGCCTGGTCCTAGTGACAGCATGTGGGTCCCCTACAGCAAGCGCTGGGCCTCACCCCTTTCTATTAGGGCAGAGACCCTGGCTGGGCCTCCTGCAGGAGAATGGTGAGACTCCCGTCCCAGCTGCAGAAGGTACTAACACAGCCCCGAAGCTGCATCACCAGCAAGAACATTTTTAACTTGGCTCTCACCATGGGCTGCCAACACCTGAGCTGGCATCTCATTTGCCCGCTGTGCCCTCACTTCCCTGAACAAACTTAAGGTTCTTGTTTTGTAAAGGACATAAGTGGACCTTTCAAGGACTTTTATAAGCACATTACTTTTTATTTACAGACATGGTAAATAGGTAAAGTTGTCTTATGTTGCTCAAGAGGACAAAACTGCCCCCTCAGCTGACAAGCTGGACAGGCAGGAACACTACAAAGCCACAGAGACTCACGGTGAATAAAGATTTTCAAAGTTCTTTTCGATTTCAGTTGAAAATGAAAATTTCAATTTCATCAATTACTCCTTAAATAGACTTATTAACTTTAATAAGGTTTTCTTAAACATTAAAATATCATACCAGATTCAAACCATCAGTGTCTGCTAGGAGTTTAATGTATGCACCTCCACAATCAATACCATCTTGAAAATTTACTTCATATCTAAATGAAGGGAAAAAGAATCACACTGCTGATAAATAAAAGTTACTGATTGTTCTTCACAATCTAATGTAATACTCTCAATTCATTTAAACACAAATGTTTGACATTACCAGAAACTCATGTAAAGCATGTAGGGAAAATAAGCAGAAATGTTTCCTTGCTGCAACTCCTTAAAACGTTAAAAATAGAATGATTAACATCAGCAAGAGAGAAATCAACCAATTGTTGAAATAATTTTTCCATCGACACTGCTAAATTCAGAATGAGATACACTGAATAAAACTACTAGTGGAAACGGGACATCAGATAAGGCAGGCTCTATACACATTCTTTATGAAGTAAAAAACACAGACCATGAAGACAGGAGCTGTAGCAACAGATCTTTTGGAAACTGCTGATGAGCTTATTCAGTTCACTGCTAGTTTGCCTTTTGGCTCAACTACCCCTAAAACATGTTAAATAGATGTGTGTTTCAGTATCCCCAGCAAGGAGATTTCAGAATCTTAATTAATAGACACAGCAGATACAAGGTAAGAGCTGAAAGGGGGTGACCTGGGGCCACAACATTGCATAATTCTCAGTGCAAGTTGGCAGCTCTTTTCTTTTCTCACGTAAGGAAATACTCTTGTTTGTGCAGTAAGACAGAGCCTTGCCCACAGTATGGGAAGAGACCAGCAAATTGATGTATTGCACGTGACAAAAACTGATGAAGAAATGGCTATCAAAGTGAATGAATTAAAAGGAGACAGAAATTGGAGATGCGAAAGGAACAAGTCAATACTGAATAAAGGACTGTAGTTTAAAATATTTCAGGAAACTTTAGTGACAAGAAAGGAAAAAATAAAATAGCATACAAAACAGCTTGAACCCAGTTAGTGTCTATCTTTGCTATTGAAAAGAACAGAGGAAATTCAGAGATTGTCTCTGAGTTTTCACTGGATTATGGGAGACCCCCCCCCCCGCCCACCTCCCACTCTGTTTAATGACTAGAGGTGTCTACAGAAGTGGCCGCGGCATGAACTTTGGAGTCAGAGAGACCAGAGACGCATCCTCATTCTGCCACTTGCTCCAGGCCGCTGAGTGGAGAGGCCAGGTCCAGGTGCCAACCACCCCGGGCTGCCTGGCCACACGGCACGAGCCCACCAAGGCGGAGGGGCGTCATACGCATCGGGGCAAATAAACACCCAATAAGGTTGCTTCTGTTATGACAAGAAGAAAGGTTTTGTCTAGTTCTTTTTCATTTTTAAAATAAAGGACAGTCTGTTTTCCTCAAGATCTTACTTTTTATTTTTAGCAACAGCTGGCAAAGACATTTTCTTCATGGAACAAGTCTTTGACAACTATAAAGTCAAATAAATGCTGCAGGATGTGGTTAGAGGTAGATACCCACTATTTTGGGTAAAACAAGAGAATTTTACTAGAGGCGAGCTAAGGACAGAGCTCTGCAAAAAAAGGTAGGGACTAGAAGAACAGTTTTCTGAAATGTCCGTAAATTTGTACAAATAACTTCATTGCCTCACAGCCTCAGTCATGTGTCTGTTCACACTGCTGACCTGCAGAGTGTCCAGATCATTAACCTGTGTTTCCGATGAATAATTCACAAGGGATTAGTGGATCAGGGAAATGGCATCGAGAAGTTTGCTGCTAAGCTTTAGTCAGGAAAAATGAGGCCGTAGGCAGAGGCTAACCTCACTGTCTCCAGAGCATTCCCCAGCTCTTTCATGAAGCAGTGATTACTGTCAGGGGAAAAGAACTGTGGTCACAAATATCTGGGAACCACAGCGCAAAAGTTAAAACCTTGTTTTTAAATAGAGAACTTCTCAAAGTCGTTAATGGGTAAATATCCTTCCTCATGTCTAAGGTTATTTTATTCTTAGTTTCTAAAATTTGTATGATAACATAATGGGTATTAACATTATACAGTTTGGAAAAAGCCACTACAAAATTAATAACGAATACATAGTAGTCATGGTATTTAATATTTATTTTATCGATATTAAGAGAAACGTCCACTGTGCTTTGAACTGTTTTCAAGCATATCAGAGACTGCCATTCAATTCTTCCTGGTTCTTGCTTTTTCAGGAAATTAGTTTCATAATTACTTTAATAATTTTTTAGACTTTTTTCCAACCTTTGTTTCTAATCTTGCAAGCTATCTTCTGCTTACTTGCCTACCAGTAATTTATACTGAACACAGTAAATCTGATTCATTTTCTGCCACGTTATGCTTTATATATTTTTTTTCCTTTTGCTTTTTCACTGAAGTCACAAAGGATCAAAACAGAAAGTGAGAGTATATGCTATCCACCTAAGTTTTAACTGAATAATATTACCTCCCACTTTTAGGAATAAGAAAAATCAAGTCCAGAATAATTATAAACAACATGAAGCTCAAATATTAGTGCCAATAAGTACTCCCAACAATATTTTAAATTTGTTCAAATAATTGTTGTATGTTCTCTGACATTACTTAATATTTAAACTTACTGAAAAATTAAGTCAATTATGCCAATGTTTTTTGAAAAGTTCTAAAACGCAAAATGAATTTTACTTATACCACATAGAAACATGTTTATCGTGTTAGCAAACATCAAAAAGGACTCTGGAGTGACACTGTTTGCAGCTAACACCATTCCCTAGGCTGAATTAACTCTGGACAGCCACCTCTTCTGATGAAAGGTGGGAAGTAACATGCATACATTTCCTGGTCTTTGTTTTTGATTTAAACTTTATTGGTTTTATCACTGCATTTGCATGGCTCTATTCTGCTTTTAGAACAGGCAGGGGTGAAGCAGCTGGAAGGATCTATAGTGGTTCTGGGGCCGCGCATGCCAGCAGCTGCCTGGCGCAGGGTAGAGACAGTCAGCATCTCCCGGTAAATGAAACCTGCTGCTGAGGCTCACATCTCTGGTTTAACAGTGATGTTTAATGTGCTGCTCTGAATACAGAGTGTCTTGACAGCAAATAGTTTTAAGGGTTAAAAGTGATTTTAGCATGTACTATAAAGTCTACAATGGCAGAATTTCATGTATTATAGCATACATTACCTAACCTTTTAATTAACTTGCTTTTCACTCAAAGCCTCAGGCTGGTTAAGTACAGACATGCATGTGTACTTCAGTCAGGGCCACTAAAGGGAGAAGCTGGACTTTATACCCATCATCTAAAACCAACTTTTGTTCAAACGGCTGGGCACGTAAAACACCCATAAATTTCAGGGAAAGCATTCAACACCATCCACTTACTGGATGATCAGAGGCTTGTCGGCAAAGACGAAGGGCTTGGCCAGGACAGCGGAGATGGCGTGGTGCTTCGCTCTGGACTTGAGCACCAGCCCCCGGTCACCAGGCACGCGGTTCTCTCTCAGTTCTTCTATTTCCCATCTTCCTACAATACAAGGTGATACAAATTAAAGTAACATATGCTGACTTAGTAATTAATCATAAGCAGAATTTATCATTCTGTTTCAGGACATACAAAAGACTAAGCATGGGAAGCTCAGCTCTGCAGTCAGAAGATGGGGCAACGGCTTCAGGCTGGGTAACCCCCAAAATACTGGGACCCCCCCCAAATACTGGAAACAAGACAAAAACTGAGTCTCCTACTGTGAAGCAGGATGTGGCCTCAGGCCCCTCACAGATATTTAATAGAAATACCATCTCAAAGCTAGTGAATGGTGCCATACTGGTAACAGCAAATAGTTAAACTAATTTTTTACCGTCATATATAGAAATATCCTCATCTGCATCATCTTTCTTTGCTTTGGATAAGACCCACCTATAAATAAGGCAAAGAAAATGCATACCATTAAAAATAAAATGCCGCAATTTATTGATACAGATGCATATAGCTAGATCTTTATAGGTATAGCTTTATATATGCGTATTAGTAACACAACAAAAGATAATCCAGCATTACTTTTCATTCAAATATAAATGAATACTGAGAGGCTGAATAAGAATAGCTATACTTAATCCTGCAAAGCTGCAGTTAAATCAAATTTAGAACCTGCAATTTACTAGCTGCATGATCACAGACATGATAGTCTACCGAGCCTCAATTTCCTCCCCTGAAAATGCAGCAAAGGTTGTGCTTACCTACCTACCTAGGACAGTGTCCAGCATATGCAATCAATAAATGATAACTGCCATACTGTTTTTACCATTATTTAGGGTGGAACATTAACCTGATTTTGTCATCTGAAATTATTAATAATTTCCCTAAGGAATGAAGAAATGTTATGTTTTCACTTCTATCCACAATTCATTTGTATATTTTCGTAAATAACTATTCAATTTAAATATTTCTATGGCTAAAAAACATGTTAAGCTACTGATTGACACTGTCAGATGAAGGACTTTACACTTCTGACAGTTCTGCAGCAGAGGCAATTCTCATAAACCAAAAACCAAGAACATCAAAAGCTAACCAAGTCAAGGAAAACCTTCCTTTGAATGAATACTCACCCAGCCAACCTTCCATTATCAAAAGTTTCTGTAAAATATACTTCTCCTATAGGTTGAGGTGTCTTATAATTTATCTAGAAAACAGATTTTTAAAAATCTAAAGTTATTCATCTCTACAAGTACTTTAAATAATCTCACTAGGTCAGAAAAGTACACATAAGTAACACAGACATGAGATGAGGTCTCTGACTTCAAATCTCTGAACCTGGTGGTGACAAGATATGAAAGAATAAAGCAGCACAGAGATGGGCAAATGTCACATGCAGAGAACATACCAGCCCTGACTCAGCCTCGAAAGGAATTTAGCAGGTGGCAATACTGGGGGATAAAGATCATCACAAGCAAAGTAAATAGCGTGACCTAACAGCATGTAAGACAAAAAAACTTAGTAGGCACATAGACTAGTTTAAAATGAATTCTCACATGTCCCGCTGTAGGCCTAGAGGAGGAAGGGAGATCGTTTTGAAAAATGAGAAGCCAGAGACACTGGCTAGGCAACACCGCAGCCCACGCCCTGGCCTGCTGCAGCGCCTCGGGCTCTCGCGCTGACAGTGAAGAGGAGGAGCTGCTTGAGGTGACCTCGAGGTTCTGTTCAGCCTGACACTCCACATATTGACACACGGGGCCTCAGGGCGGGCAAAGCCGCTTCCCAGCCCCACAGCCACAGGAGGAGGAGGAGGAGGAGACGTGAATCCGATAGTCTGACCCCAGAGCTAACACACTCAGCCGCTGCATGTGCCCACAACACTGCTCAAGTGATGAAAAAAAACTTACTGACAAACTGTCAAAAGATAATTTGAGTGGGTGAGGAGCGGGGCCCTTTCTGACTCAGCCGAGCGAGCTGAGCCGCAGGGTCAACTGCGATGTGTCGTCCCCATCTTGGGAGAGGGATGCAGCAGCGCTCTTCTGATTCCCCTGCCCCGCCCTGCCCCGCCCTGCCCTGCCCTGCGAGTACTTTTCCTCTTTAAGGGAGGAAAGTTCGCAATGAAGCACCTAATCACCTTCAGGGTCAAGACTCTGCTGCCAACACTGCCAGCCCCTCAAAGTTCCCGCTCGCTCCTCCCTCTCCACCCCTGGCAGCAGGGGCTGTGGGCCCGCGGGGCGTCCTCTGGCCTGGCCACCCTGTCGCCCCCTGCAGTCTCTCTAGCCCTTTGTTCACACCTACTTACCGTCCTTGCATCACACGGACAACTGCTCTTTCTCACCTACCATCTCCCAACACAGAGGGTGGCAGGGGCCAGCCAGCCACGCCGCCGCCCCTCCAGTAGCTGTCCCCACGTCCTCCCTAGCGCCGGGGCTACTTTCTGTCACTCAGAGATTAGGACTTAAAAGAAATATCCTGTGGGGTTTAAAATTTATCAGGAGAAAAAACTATTCACCTTCAACATGTGAACACCGAGTGCGCTAGCAAGGACGGCTTCAGCAACTGCGCGCAGCGCTCCGCGGCGCTTCAAGTTGGCACGAGAAACGCAACTGACGCTTTCTCACCACCAAAACTACTTCTGGAAAAAATCCTGACGGTTTCAATATTAGATCTGAGAATTCCTCAAAACACAGATGTTCCCACTGGGTCAGAACCAGGGAGCCCCGGCGTGGCCGCCTCGCCGTCACCGCCCATTCTGATCCGTTCTCCTGGCAGCGTCAGAAATAAGACTGAAAACCTTTCTGAGCTAACGCGTTCAGTCCTCCTGCTAGCCAGTGACAAACCCCTATGCTAGCCGCAAAAGACTTCTCCCCGTTTACTTTTACATTTACTTAGAAAATGAAGACTATTAGAATTATTGCAAGTTTTTTAATTGTATTCTTTTTATTGAGGCAACACTGGCTTACACGCTGTATAGACTGAGGGAGTCAGTTCACGACTCTCCAGATGTGAGTCACCACCCCTCGCCACCACCTGAGAGACCAGTCACTCCACGCATCAGTCAGGCAGGGGAGCAAGTCACAGCTCACTTCTCAGTAACCTCACCTCGGGGGAGAGTTCTCCTTCCTTCATATCAACCTCTTCTGAATTTTCATCAAAGTCTTCCACCATTTCAACACCATCATCTATGGATTCTGTGTTAACAGAGACGAACAGAAGACCCAGACACAGCCAAGAGCTGTGGAAACGCATATTGACCGTCTGTGAAGTGAAAATAAAACCAAGTGAGAAGAACGATCATATGTGCCAAAGGCACAACACCGTCTCCTTAATGCTTCCTTTAGTCTAAATGAGGATTTAATTGTTAAACTTTCTAACCTTATTAACAAAGCTGTCTGAACAAGTGAAAACACCAACTTCCAATCTCACAGGACACAGACTGTGGAGCTGCAGTCCGGCCTCTGAAAACAGCCAGCAGCACAGATCCTGGAGAGAAGGCGGGCGAGGACCTGGTGCCCTTGTGCAGCCTTGAAAAGAGGACGTGATTCCTAAGTGTCCACAGAGGCCACGTTTCATGACAGTGTGGCCACTTTGTCACTATAAGGTTAATTAAGTGTATATGACATGCAATTGGAAATTTTAGAATTATAAAACCTAAATACATTTATCTGTAAACACCAAAAAAAAACTAAAGAGAAAGTCTGTTCACAATGTACTGTGATCATCTTCAGCTGACATCAAATCTCAGCTTAAGAAAAAGCAAATAGGGCCTCCCCTGCTGGCGCAGTGGTTGAGCGCTGGGCTGCGAAGCTGTCTGCAGCCTCTGCAGCGCCGGTGCGATCCCCCGCTGCTGGCGAGGGTCCCACATGGCGCGCAGACCTCCCCTGCCATGCCCGCTGCTCCCCTCAGCAGTGTACTTCGTCAGTCTGCCTGTTCTGCTCCCTGCTCTGGCTCTGGTGAATTCTTTCACCCTCCTGTGCTTCTGAATGTACCCAGTGCTTGTATAAATAAATAAATAAATCTTTAAAAAACAAACAAACATCAGATTACAAAAGGCATTTTTCCATGTAGTTAACTCAACCGAATTGACTACTTCAAGAGATGGACACTTCACAAGCATGCGTGGGTCCAGCAGCCTTGATCTCTAAAGCTCACCAGCACAACTCTAAGTTACTCTGAAAATGCATGTTAAAAGAAACCCCCTCGATCTACCGAATTTGAATATTCTATATTAAAGGTGTGTTAATGCTGCCATCTTCATGGACAAAGAACACAAAAATGTCATTAGCTGTCACCTGCTACAAGAGCTTGACTCCTTGAGTCACCCTCAAGTGGTGGACTGGATGGGAAGTGAACACAGACATCAATCTGACTTGCTAACTGTACTTAGCTTTCCACTTTTGGGCACAGGAGCGAATGCATCTGCATTACTGTTAATAACCTTAGAAGGTTCATTTTCTCAAAGTGCAAGAGCCTTCCGTGATGGACATCATGTAGTAAAGGTGTTTTGCTTCACTCAATCACATTTGAGTAAAAGAGAAATACATGCATTAGTAACAGCAGCAATAACAAATGTCACTATTAAATTAGGGCCGCATCCTCGCCTTCAGAATGAAAGGATACTTGGGTTTCTCAATAATTTATTGAAAAGTATGTGCTCCGTGTCTCCTTGGAGCTCTGGGGCACCGGGCTGGCTGCCGGGGGCCTGGGGGAGAGCGAGCAGGCAGTCCCACTTTGGGAGGCCTGCTTTCACTCCAACCAGAGCGCCCCAACTGTGTCTGCGACATCCCAGTTCTTCCCACCTTTCCAAGACAAGGGGAAATGGTGGTTGCCAGAGTCTCGTCGGGTGTGATCGAGGCAGAACTGCTGAGCTGCATGGCCAGGGGCATAAAAGGGCCCGAGCAGCTGTGTATTCCTCGCGCCATACAGGTTGCCGAAAACCACCAAACGGCATTTCTGCTGTCGTGACCGAGGGTGGCCTGGGAAGCACAGGCGTCTGCAGGCCTCTCTGACCTAGCGTGTGTTCCCTGTACGGCTGCTGAGCCGCTGAAAACTGAAGTGTGAGTGACTCTGGCCAAGTATCAGACACCATCCTCCCCAGTCTCTGGACCAAGACCAAGGATCTTGGCCTGATCCACCACAAAGGATTTCACCAGTATCACTTAAAAGCAGTCTCTGTGCCCTATTGGATCTCTGTGACAGCCCCAAACCACCAGGTGTAAAATAGCTCATGTACTGGTGGATGCACCGTGCACTGCTACGTCAGGGCAGCTGCAGCGTGGAGGGAAAGACAGCACCGCCCCAGGACCTGTGGTGCAGCACAGGCAGGTTGCCAGGGCAGCCACACTTCTTTTGTCAAAAAGGCTTGTTATCTTTGGAGTCAGGTGTGGATCGGACCGAGTGGTGCGGATCCAGCGAGCCAGTGGTGCCAGTTCCCACCTGGCGGCAGCAGCCTGGACCAGAGCGCTGATGTTTCAGGTCAAGTCCAAAGACAAGAAAAGCTGGGCAGGAGGCGCCCCCTCGTCCTCACCCAAGGGTCAGACTTTCTGTTCTGTCCTGCCTGCTAGTGACTGAACGAGGCTCAGCCTCCTGGGGGAGGGCAATCTGCTCCAGTCAGTCTACAAGTTAAATGTTAATCCCACCCAAAGGCACATTCATGTACACAGCAGGACGTCTCACCAAATATCTGGGTCCCCTGGGGTCCACACCAGAAACCAGAAATCATGTGGGGGCTCTGAGATCTTATTTTAGCTTCTATTTGAACCTTAACTAATCTACTAACTACAACAGTGTTTCTTTCCCTAAATTGGAAGGTCCTAGAAACAAAGAAAATACTCCATGAAATACAGCAAAAAGTGGGGGAAAAAAATCACAACAACAGAAACCGTTGAAAATAAAGCTTTCTTGGAGACTGACCGGCAACAGGGCCACAAGCAGTCCAAGCAGGCCTGGCCCGACCCAGGCGTCTGAAGGTCTCCAGCCGCAAGCACCAAAGGGCTGAGGTCAGAGAAACGCTCAGCACTGGACCTGGCCATTCAGCACAGGCCAGCACAGGCCACTCAGCAATGGCCTCAGCACAGGCCATTCGGCGGCACCAACCACAGGAATGACTACGCCTGCCTCTGGCCACACACGAGGTTCAAGTGGACCGGACAGCACCACTTCCCAAACAATGCTCACGGGAACACCACAGCGACTCGCTCTCGGCTGTGCAGGGCGATGCCGACGCCACATGGTTCCACACGGGCAGCAGGTGGCAAAGAGCAAAACACAAAACAGACCAGAACAGCAGCTCCCCGAGGGCCAGGCCTCTCGCTTTTGGATTCATGGTGCCCAGAAAGCGCTGGTTTGCGGTGAACAGCAGCCGATGTGCTCATAGGATGTCCGCACGCAGGAGTGATAGGAAGGAAAGGTTATGGGGGAGGGAAATAGATGTTACCAAGCAACCAACCGGGATGTGTTTGTTGCCCCAGCACAGCGGCAGTATATTTAGCAGAAGGGTTTCTAGGCAATTAGGGGGAAACCAAAAATAAAATGAGGGCGTTTTCCCTGCCCATGAAAGTCTACAAGGTCTTTGCAGGAGGCTGGGGGAATCCTTTTCTAGAATTTAACACACAGAAAACTCCTGAATCCTATATATGACAGGTGTCTTTAGCTATGGTTTTATGAGTGAGAAATAGTCTTGTCAGTGGTTCTAATACTGGTCGTCTAACACGTACATTTCATTGTTAAAACTTACCAGTGAAAACATTTCCATAGAAAAAAAGAGATCCTGGTCTTGATAAGGTTTGCAGTTTTATGATCTAATTTAACATGAGGGTAGTAACGTATACTTTTTTAACTCTACTCTGCTTCTCTAAGAACATCTCTCATCGGGAGTTTCTTGGAAGTTTACTGTAGACATGCTTCATTGTAACAACGCAACCCCCAGTTTACTAGAAAAGGCAGTAAACAAAAAATTCAGATTAAAAAGGTTTTCTGTGACCACATCTCACAAATTTTCACCAGAATTAGAAGGTATTCTTGGAATTGCCTGGCTATGTGGCACAGAGAAAATTCACGTTGAGGGCACCACAAATGAAGGAGAGAGGCAGGTAGGCGTGGCGAGGCAGCTTCTTCCCAGGCAGCTGTAGGACTCTGCTTGAAATGCAACTATTTCCTCAAAGAAGAAACTAAGATGCGTCAGGGGTTCCTTAACGTCACGAAGGCTAACTTTTTGAGAAATTCAGGGTGGTCAGCTGGCAGACAGCTATTTGTGACTGTCCTTTATGTGCCAGGTACGACGGCTGACAATGAATTTACGGTAGTAAGTAAAACAGACCTGGCCCTGAGCTCACAGAGCTTCAGTCTCGCATGGAAAAGTAGGTATCAAACAAACAACCAGAAACGTCACGCAAACATAGCAAGAGACAGTAAAGGAAGGAAGCTGGAAGATTTCATCATGTATGTGGTAGGAGAAGGTCAGAGAAGCCTCCCCGAGGAAGCTACAGCTAGAGAGAGGCGGGGCGCGAAAGCCCTGATTCCTGGGCAGGGCCACGGCGGCAGGACACAGAGGAACCCACGGAAGAGGGGATGGGGCCGGCGGTGCTGTCGTGAGAACCTACAGTGTGTCGAGCCCACGGACGCAGACCCTGCAGCACTCCGTGACGAAGGCGCCGGTGTCTGTCCCACAGAGAGCGAGGCTGGGGAGAGGCACTTGGCCGAGGACACGCAAGACCGCTGGGCGCAGGAGCCACGACTCCGAGTCTAGTTCCAGCTCTACGCGTTCCTTTCACCACGGCGCCGAGGCCAGAAGAACAACAATTAAATCCTCACCCAATGACATCCGGGTTCTAGGCCTCTAAGATTGAAGAAAAAAGAGTAAATATTTTCTTATTAAGTTGTGTGGGTTTTATACTTTAAAATGTATATCCGAATTACATTTATGCAGACGTTTAGCTAAGTGACCGTCAAAAAGATTTCAGGATACTAACAAACACAAAAACCTTACGGCATTATGTTTGCATACTACTATACAATTTTACAAAGACGTCACACAAACTTCAGCATTGCAGGGTAAGGTAAAAGCATCAGGCTTTTCTGCCCTCCCGCCATCAGGATGGATGACGGAACCCTGCGGTCCTGAATGTATGCCTGACGGCGGGCACCTGGAGCGGGGTGTGGGCATAGGTAGGTGGGATTCACCGGGGCTGAGACTGGGCTTTTAAGGGCGGCGTCACGGGGACGCCAGCAGAAACAGAGCAGCAGAGAAAGCAGCAGAGTACCACGAGAGCAGAAGAACCACGAGAGAAGAAATGGCCACCAGAGAAGGCCGGAGAGCCCAGAGAGAGTGAAGACTTGCTGGGGGCTGGGAGGCCTGCCCGCCTCCCGGCCCCCCATCACCCCTGCCTGCTGTGTACCCGGTAAATCTCAATAAAAGCCTGCAAAAGCCACCCAGGGCTCCGGGCCTCTCTCCTCCTTTACCCCGTCTGCTGGATCAGAAAACCTGTCCCGAGTCCTTCCTGCCCTTACAAGCATATTTAAGACAATTCCCCCACTTCTCAGTCAAAAAAGCTCAAGGGTAAACAGTGATGCTGACTGTCACAACTACGGTTATCAATGCTAGCTGTTATAAATGCCTCTAGGTATCTCCTTCCCTTAACAACAGCATCCAGATGAACGTCAATACGATCACAACGTCCTATAGCAGGTACACTGACTCCCCAAAGATGCCCGCTCCCTGGCCCTTGGGTCTGTGAGTGTAATTTCAGAGTGAAAGGGACACTGCAGCTGCAGTTACGGCTGCTAATTAGCTGACCTTAAAACAGGAAGAGGAGGCCTGGGTCATCCAGGTGGGCCCAGTGTAATCCCGAGGAACTCAGAAGGGGAAGCTATAAGCAGGACAGACTGGAGAGAGGGTCTCTCCGCCCAACCTAGGGACTGAGGAGAGGGCCAGGAGCCAAGGAAGGTGAGCGGGGTCCAGAAACCCAAGACAGCTCTCTTCAGGGACCACATTTCCCCAACTGCAAGCGACTGAGTTCTGCCATCAACCTGGACCAGCAAGGAAGCGGGTTCTCCCCAGAGCTTCCAGCAAGGGGCGCTTGATTTTAGCTCCGAGACCTGTGTCAGATTCTGCCCTGGAGAACTGCAAGAAAAGGAATTTGCGTTTCTCTAAGCTGCTGATTGTGGCAATTTGTTATGGTCGCAATGAAAAATGAATGCCCCTTATGATTCCTGTCCTTAATTCTGGCTTCTTCAAAGCCTTCCTGACCAACCAGGCCTACCTGACAATGGCAACAGCACTTCCCAGAGCCGCAGCTGCCTCCTCGGGGAGCTGTACTCCCTAGGTTTCTAAGGCGCCATTCTGGATCCCTGATGCGCTTCCTTTTCTCTGCCTCTGCCATGCATGCTGCCTGGTCTTCCCAAAAGCGGCTGCCCCTCAGGATTCTGTCCCCAGGCTCTCTCCTGGCATTGCATATACTCCTGGCTGCAACCTACAAGGACTAACACATGACTCCCAAGTCCTAGCCACAGCAGGAGCTCACTCTTTGGTTGCCCGTCACCACTAACTTGAACTTGGTTCTTTCCTCCCAAACCTGCACCTCTGCACTTGGGGGCTCCCTACTGTCTGTCTATCCCTCTGCTACCGTCTTAGTTTAAGAGCCCTCCGTTTCTGAAAGGGGTTGGTAAACCCGCACTTTGCCTCTTCACTTCCAGTCTATCCAATTGCCAAATCCATCCCCTGGCTTCCCTCTAGCATGGGTCTTCTGAAGAAGTCGTCTTATTTTACTACCTGTGTATAAAAATGTTCAGCAGTTCTCAGCATCAATTATGCCCCTTCAACTCACTTCACTCTCTCTGCACCCCCGGCCCCTGTGCACATTCCAGCCGCTGCTCTGTGTGCAGTTTCTTACAACTGGGCTGCCTTCCCGCTGCAGGGTTTTCATGGCTGGCGATGCAGCCCCACCACGGCCTGCCTCCGAGCAGAGCTTGAAAATCACCTAAGAATCTCTGTGTGGGGCAGCGTCAGGAACTCGGCTGCTGTGACAGAAGGACCTGGAACGGCCCGATCGCACAGAGTATCTAGTTCTGTTTAAAAGGCAAGTGGAGCAGCACTGTTTACAATAGCTCAGCTTTGGAAACAACCCAAATGCCCAAAAACAGATGACTGGATCAAGAAGATGTGGTCCATATACACCATGGAATATTACTCAGCATTCAAAAAAGATAAACACATGCAGTTTGCAGCAACATGGATGGCGCTGGAAGGGATCATGCTCAGCGAAATAAGCCAGAAAGAAAAAGAAAAATACCGGGTGGTCTCACTCATAGCAGGAATCTAGAAAACCTAAATAAGGGACCAAGAAAATGAATAACTATAAGAAAGTGAAAATCAAAATCAACAAAAAACTATGAACCAGAGACACTTTTTGGGGGTGGGGGGCGGGAGGGGAGGGATTGGGGTCAAAATAAGGGGGTTGCAATTGTACGGGGAATATAAAAATAAAATTTAATTAAAAAAATAAATAAAAATAAAAGGCAAGGGGGGGGAACTGCTCTGGGCCTGCGCTTTCCATGGCTCGAGTGACAAGGTGGGTGAATCAGGCCGCCAGGCACCTGCCGCCCGCCGGGAGCACCGCGCTCCCCTGGGAGCTGGGCACCAGCAAGGGCAGCAACGCGCCCACCGACGCCGCCAACGTCCCCGCAGGGACTACCCAGGCCCGCGGGAAGAGCAACCACCTGCCGGGCGGGTCTGGCGAGGAGGCCTCGGGGTGAGGGACCGTCCCCGGCGGGGAGGGCGGCCCAGGCGCGCCGAGGGCACCGGCCGAGGGTGCTGGGAGCGCGAAGGCAGCGGGGTGTCTCCCGTCGGGGGAGCCGGAGTCCCGCCGCGGGCGCCGGCCCTGCCCCTCCCGCCGCCGCGGCCCGAACCCCAGCAGGCGCCGCCCCCGGCCCCGCGGCTCCGGCAGGCGCTGGACAGAGACGCCCCTCGAGGGCGGCCCGAGCCGGGCTGGAGGCGCCAACGAGGCTCCAGAGCGAGAGTCCAGGACGCGGCCGGCCCGCCCCGCCCGGGCGCGCTGGAGGCCCCCGAGCACCTCGGGCCCGCGCGCCGGCTGGACCCGCCCCCCCGCCCCCCAGCCGGCCGCGCCCCCGACGGCGGCGGGTCCCCACGGCCTCGGGGCGAGCAGCCGCGCGGGGAGCAGCGCTCGGGCGCGCCCCGGCCCCGCCGCCGGCCTCGGGCGCGCGCCCCGGGGCGGACGCGCAACGGCCGGAGTAACGGACCCGACGCCCCGGCCCGGGGAGGGCGCGGAGGGGCCCGGGCGGCCCCCGGCGCGGCAGGCGGCAGAGCGCCCCGGGCGCCCGTCGAGTCGACCCGGCGCGGAGCCCCCGGCCCCGGCCCCCGGCCCGCCCGCGGCTCCCGGCCCCCGCCCCGGGCGGCGAGGCGAGGCGAGGGGCGCGGCCGGCGGGGCGGAGACGCGGCCGGCGCCCCCCGCCACGCACCTGTCCGGCGGGCCCGTCCCGCGGCGGCGGCGCAGGTGTCCGGCCGCTCCCCCGGCGGCGTCTCAGCCCAGCGCCGCGGCCGCCCAGCCGCTGCCAACTGCGCCTGCGCGAGCGCCGGGGGAGCGCGGGGCCGGGCGCGCGCCCGAGCCGGGGCGCAACGGCCGCGGACGAGCCCGCCCCCGCGCGCCCCCCGCGCCGGACCCCCCCAGGCCCCCCGCCGGTCCCCGCCGCCCCCCCACCAGCCCCCGCCGGTCCCGGCCGCCCCCCCCCGGACCCCCGCCCCCTCCAACCCCCTCCCAGCACCCCGACCCGGGACCCCGCCCCTGCGCCCTGCCGCCACCCCTCCCGGCTCGCGCCCGGGGCCCCGCATGGCCCGTCAGTCGCGCCTTCGCGCAGCGCCCAGCCGCGGAGCTCCCGCCGGGCAGGCCCCTGTTTTGGGGGCGCGTGCCGGCGCGTGTTCGGGTTCACGCGCTGCAGGACCTGTTCTTCCCGCCGAAACGGCTTTCGAGAGACTCGTCCGCATGTCTGGGCTCCGCGCCCGCTGCCAGCCCCGGCCACCCCGAGGACGCGGGTCCCCCCCCCCCCCCCCCCGAGCCGCGCGCCGGGGGTGCAGGCGCCGCGCGGCGCGAACCACCCGCTGTCGGCCCAGGGCGCGGCTCGCGCGGCCTCTGCTGTTTGTCCGTCACGCGAGCCCCGACTCTGGGCCCGGCGCGCCGCCTCGCAGGTGCAGCGGGGGACAAACTTTCGGCCTCTGATTCCTCCCGGGGTCGGGGGTCGCGGGCCGGGGCGCTCGGGGGTCCCCGCCCGACGGCGGCTCGCCGGGCGCTTCCCACAGCGCGCCCGTCCCAAGGCTCCGATTCTAGACCTTGGACACTTCAGAAGCGTGTTTGGGGGGTGCTTTGTTTATTGGGGAAAAAGGGGGGGGGCAAATTTTTATCTGAGCGCTTCGGAACAGCATCATCCCCTTGATGCTCTTCTTCAGTCTTTCCAACCTGTATTATTAAACACAATTCCGCGGCATACAGCAGAGACGCGCGACCTGCTCGAGCAGGGCCTCTGCATGTCCACTCAGCCGGTCCCGAAGAAGCTGTAAAAATTTTAATGGGGGATTTGAGCTAAAGGCGATACATCAACCCCTCGATCTCTACAAAAGTAAACCGCAAAGGAAACCTGAATAAAAATGAAAATATGCAAGTACCAAAACAACATACAGGTGACTCTGAAGCCTGGGAGAGATGTATTCCAGCTATGACTCAAAATCTGGATGCAAAATGGGGCTCCACCGTATTAAAAAAAAAAAAAAAAAAACTTCTGCACAGTGAATGAAAACCATCAAATGAAAAGACACCCTACCGAACAGGAGAAAATAACTGCGCATCGTACATCCGACAAAGGGCTGATCGCCAAGATGACCAAGGACTCACACAACTCAACAAAACCACCCAATCAAAAAACAGGCATGTACGTAGACACTTCAGAGGAGACACACAGATGGCCAGCGGCCACATGAGAAAAATGTTCATCGTCATCTGGGAAATGCAAATCAAAGTCACAATGAGGGATCAGCTCACACCTGTGAGAATGGCTTCTCTCAAAAAGCCCATAAACAGCTGGTGTCGGAGAGGACACCTGGACACAGGATCCCTGTTTGTTGCTGGGTATGTAGACTGGTCCAGCCCCCAGAGGAGACAGTGTGGAGGCTTCTCAAAAATTTAAAATAGGCAAATACTTGAATAAGCACTTCACGAAAGATGTTTATGTCATGAGAAAGATACTCTTAATAAAAATATACCTATGAGCATACATGCATGTTCACATATCCACACACCGCATGAAAAGGTCATCGTTCAGTGCAAATTAAAATCATAACGGGGCATGAAGATCTCCCTTTTCTAGAACGTCCTACAAACAGAACCAGAAAGCAGACAGTCTTCTGCATCTGGCCTTGGTCATCCAGCACAATGTCTAAGAGGCTCAACCATCTTCTGGTAAGAATTAAACTGCAGTCTCGGCTCCACTGTCTAAATTCTTTGTCCATTCTACAGTGTAGGATAAAAGGGGGAAATGGAAATACTAATTGGTCCTTCTAACACAGAATATTGGCCAGTTTGGAAACATCTAAATAGCTCAAGGTCTTGATGGGTGTAGAGTGATAACTTATATTTGTAAAGGTGTGAATCCATACCCCTAAAAAATAGTTACAGTGTTGTAAATCAACATTACCTCAATAAACATTAAAAAAATAAAATAAAAAGACAAAATACTCCCAATCTTATCAAATGGCTGGTTCATTATTTCCCAGAAATTGTTTTCAATAGGGAAAACGCTATATGAAACTAAAATATACACAGAACATAGTGCTATAAAATACAACAAGATTAAGAAATATTTAGTAATTTTCTATATATTTGTATCGTTTCATACTTACTGCTTTATTATTGAATGTTTATTTATAAAAATATGATCATAGTTTCTTATCCACTATGAAGAAAGTTGGGAATAGTTTAATCCTTGTTATGCCATTTTTTCCAAAGAATGAACTTCTGATCATGTTTTTAGAAGGTGTTAGAATTATGAAACTCCTAATAATAAATATCCTGTTCAAATTTAAAAAAATTAAAATATAATTACAATAGACATATCATTAAATTGTTAATTTTATCTACTCTGTGGTATGAAGTATAAGGAGAAAAAAAAAAGCTAAGATTATAACCTCAAAATACGAATAAGCGGATGTACATTCTACTAAATCTTTCATGAATTTACAAAGGTCAGGTCGAGATAGCTTATCTGCCAAAAAATTTAGTGGAAGAAAAGCACCAACAAATGGAAAATACAGTCCCATCTCCTTTTGCATCATCTGCAACTGTTCTATGTAGCTTGAAGGTGTTAATTCTTGCATATTTGTAAATTACCCATTTGTATTGTTCTAGCCGCTTCTTTGTCTGGTTCAATAAATACTTCATTTAAACTCAAATGTTAATCTTGAATTTCACCTCATGAGCTGGAGCTAACATTTAGGAGACACTAAGGGCTGAGTCTGCAGTGCTGTGTGCAGTGTGGAAACGCCTCCGTCAACTAATTTAAGCTCCACTGGGAGGAGCAGGAGGGTTTGTCCCTTGTCATGTATACAGTCCTGGGGTCACCCCAAGTGAAATCAAGGTATATTGACTCTGTGAGGTCTTTGCTGCTTCTACCCCACCAAGGTGCTAAGTAGATGGAAAGGACCATTGTTTCCAAAAATGATGAAAAATTCAAGAATGACTAAAAAGAAATGATGCTGAATTTTTCTTCATCTGGAATACAGTGGCCTGGAAAAAAGAATGTTGCTATAATTAATTTCAATAATAGGGGCATTTAATTTTTTAAATATTCCTGTTGTATAATTTTGAAATTTAGACTAAAATAGTGAATTTTATTATGACTTTCAAAACACCTTTTTAGTTTTATTATTTGAACAGCACAGCTGGGAACGGTTGGGTAAAGAAGTGTATCCAGGCTGGATTTTTCTACCTGACAGGTGACAAGTAATGGGGGTGGGAGAAGACCCCCCCCACCCCCACAGCGACAGGTGCCATGTGAGACGGACTCTCTCACATCCTCATCACTGCTGTTCTAAACAGTATCTGACATGTTCAGGAAACATTGCATAATTACTCAAGTTAAATTTCCAAATCTTACTTTGAGATATTGTTCTTTTCCAGGCAACGATGACTGTATACCCACATGCTGGAAAAGAGAAGGTTGATATCGAATACGAATTTGCTTATTTCGTTCTGAACATTTTTCCTGGGGGAGAAATTAAAAGGAATAGCAATCTTCCATTAAAGCTCTAATACCTTTTTATTGCATTTATTGATGGCAGAATTTTTTGTTTTGCCAGAGTTTTACAGGAATATTTTAAAATTTAAACAAAACATTTAATTTCCAGTATTTTTCATACGAATAATAAAAAAGACAATTTTAAGGGTTTTAGATCATTATTTATATGATATACATATGTGTGATTGTGTATATAATATATGATATATATATGTGATATGTATATATAATTTTCTTTTAGGAAATCAGGCGAAATAAAGCTGTATAAGCTATAATTTTCCTCTCCTCTTTTTATTCTCATAATACAAATGAAGTTATTAGTATTTTCCTATCTCTCTCTTATACATTATACTTTCTCTTCCTATATTCACTGATTAATTCCGATGCTGAATTATATCCTCCTCAATTTCTTCTTAAATAGTAAAATGTATCTGATTAGCACAGTGGGCCATGGTGGAGGATTATTATGGGTGTGTTGGTGGGGGTGATCCTATACCTCCAAATCATACATTGTGTTGTAACCTAATGTTACCTCAATAAAAATGTATATCATAAATAAAGAGCTGATAATATACTTAATGATTATACAACATGGGAAAGAAAATTGATAATCTCTTTAAAAGCAAAAAGAAGAAAGGTGACTGTGACACTACTCCTATTAAAAACGAATACTTGAAGTTCTGATTGATCTGAGAATTCTTTTATATGCTGTATACACAGAAAACTCATACAAACACATCTCAAGTTTATATAAAGAGTCCTCAATAGCAGCTTTATTTAAATGCATTTGTACTCAGTACAGACATATAAGAAAATATTGTGTAAAAGGATTATTTTTATAATTGTAAAGTAATTAATTGATAGAATTAATTAATGCTTGGATTTATACCTTCTATTTTATTTTATTTTTTAGTATTAATTTTTACAGTTTGTTCACAGTCCTTTTTTTCCACTTTTCACTGCATCTTTGGCCTCTCATTACTTCATTTAGTAGGAATAAGAGTCAATAAAAATTTAGAACATGGGAAGTAAAAAAATTCATGCACTCATCAAATTTAGTTAGGTAAACAAATTTTAGTTAATTAGAAAGATAATATTTTCTTAAAATAGTATTTACAAAGTAAAAATATACTCACAGGCGTTTCTCCTGGATTACACATCTTTACCTGAAAAATGTCCCCCAAGAGCAAGTCTATAGGTTTATCTTTGTAGAACATTAAAAAAAAACGCACAAAATCAATTAAGTCCTCAGATTTAAATAGCTTTCCTATGGAGAAAAAGTAAACAAGTCCAAATAAGCCTGGAGTGTTTACATCATATATCATAACCTCTATATATAGTTTGTCATTCAGGAAAAGAGCAAAAAAAAAAAAAAATTAAATATATCCTCTCCCTTAGAAGTAAACTTAATGAAGTTGTAGCAAAAAAATCAAAATAGTTTGTGTGCTTTAGTATTAATGATTACTATTAGAAATACATCCATTGCTTACCTATGAACCCAAGAACTGAAAACTCAATATAAAGCCAGTTATTTGAGGAGATATTATGTACAAAATCTGTGATTTTTGTAAGGTACATCTTTTTAGCTATGATATCATCTTCTAGCTGGAAATAAAGCAAAAAGACATTAGCACCTTTCGTGCATCCATTAAATAATTCAGAATACACTGAAAATATGTTCTTATGAGGTAATTTTATTTTTAGTTCAATTTACTTTGAGTATTTAGGTTACTTAATTTTTACTTTCAGATTCTGAAACCAGGGATTATCTGCTCTTTCCTAAAGACTAATATGCATCATCCAATCTAAATTGTCTTTGGAAGTGTCTCTTTTATCTGCATCCATTTTCATCCTCACAAATATCTCCATGTCTGGTCGGGAACTAGCTGGCCCTAGGCTCAGGCGACAGGCGCTGTGTTCTACTGCTTGATGTTTGCTGGCAGAGAGGTGACAGAGGGAACAGTCCCTCTCACCCACACCCAGGTGGAGAGAGTGATGGTGCGAAGAAATCCCCCCAGTTCTCCACAGTGGAGGGGAAGTGGTGGGGCACTATAAATAGAATTTTCTTTTTTTACTTAATGTATGTTATGTGTAATCTATTGAGTAAGGAGGCCCTAAGTCGTTCAGAAAAATGTGGACATCAGCAGGCACCAGGCCAGAGCACAAAATAGAACTGCACTGTCTCTACCTGGGAGAGGACATGGCCGCTCTGCCACTTCCACTGCACTGTCATGACCTAGGGGCGGAAAAGGATTTTCCTTTTTCCTCCAGTACAAGGGATACACTTCAAGGAAGCATCTTGCCTCAGGCCTTTTTCTAACTCCCTCTGTTCTCCAAGGATAGTCTGCAAGCTCTTTCTCACAGCTGCACATCGACTCACAGACTGAAGGAGGCACTTACTGTTGGCAACGCTACCATTATTTACCATCCTGTTTGACAATACCCAGGAATTTAGGAGGTACAAGTTCCATTTAATTGACCTATTCTACAAACACAGTGAGGTACTATGGAACTGAGTTACCCATAAAATGTGAGGCAGCATGGGGTAGCCAAGACAAGTGCTCAAAATATGTCTGCTTAATAAGCTGTGTGCAGAGAAATGTAGGTGGTGCCATTTCTATTATAATTTGAGAATTTCTTTCTAGTCTTCTGGTAACTGTAATTTCTTCTGCAAGACTGAGATATAATCATTTTTTAGCTTCCTGTTGGCCTTTTCACATAATGAGTGTTTTCTGAGTATAAAGAAAGGTGCAATAAGACAAGAGGAAGTAAGAAATCGAAGGAGGATGGGAGAACATAATACTCTCACTTGAAATTATGTATATGTCAAGGTCTCACCTGTAGATAATACATGGCCTTGGGTTGGGCATATAGCATCAAAAAACAAAAATCCAATACTTGTTTGCTTCGCCATCTAAATAATAAAATGTTTATATCTGTCATTATCATTTCATTTCTATTTATAAATACATTCCAGTCATTAAAATAACAAACTTTCAAATATACTCTACTAATATAGAATGCTCTCCACATTAACTAAAACTGAGCAGGTTATACTAAAAAGTTGTACTAAGAAGTTTTTCATCTTTGTTCAGTGGACCGTGTCTACCATCACTAAAACAGCAATAAAATAAAATTTTATGTTTTCGTTAGTTTGCTTCTGATCTATGTAATAAAGTAAATATTCTCACTGATCTTAGGCGTTGTTCAAATGAAAGTACGTGGAAAGTTTAATTTAATCCTCAGCTAGTAAGGCTGTGTTCTGAAGACACAAAGGGGAGCGTATGAGGCAGTTCTTGCCCTGCTGTGTCTTCTAGTCTATTATGAAATGGTGGGAAAACAGTATAATTGGAACCAAGAGACAAGTGCCATAGAGAATAATGGCAACGGTGACTTCCACTGAGACAGGGAGCATGGGGCAGGAGGCAGCGGACTTCCAGTGCCGAGGCTCAGTGGGGCAAACGCCCAAACCTGTTCTAGAGCACGTGGCCTCAGGTCCAGAGCAGATATAGCTGATGGAAGAGAAGGTGGTGGCGAGAAGCTGGCAGGCACCAGACCATGAGGGGACAGGCAGGAAACCTTGGACTTGAGCTCATTGGAAAAAGGATTCTTCTGTTACAGTGTGGAGAAGGATTCTTCTGTTACAGCCTGGAGGGGAGGCCAGGAGAGGGTTCAGAAAAGCAAATAGCCTTTAAAGGCCTGATCCAAATCCCAGGCTGAGGAACGGGAGCAGAGGTGATGAGTGGAACCATGTGGGGAGAGAGCTCAAACAGGAAACACTGACAGAGACATAAAGGGCAGAAGGAAAAACAGGATCTGCGACATCACCCATCTCCCAGCTTTACGACTGGTTATAACACCGGTGACCAAGTAAAAGCAAAACAAAACCGTTAGAAGATTCCCAGATTCTGACCATGTATTATTTTAAAACAAAACAGAGCTTACAGGTTTCCTGTTGCTAGGCTTTCCCTGGCGATCATGATGTATAGAATACTGATGTCAGTTATCATGTTGGACACTGAAACCTGTGTAAAGGTGTAAACCAATGTCTCCACAATAAAAATTTATTTTAAAAAAGTTTCCTGGGATAACAACTTTCTCTGAAATATGATGTCTGTCCTTTTAAGTTTTGTGGAACCATCATGTTATGTTTCTTATGCTACCTACCACTTTTACAACCAATCGATGATAATCTTTTTTTCTGCAGAAAGAGATTGTAATTTCTCAAAACTCTTTTAAAAAATACTAACATTTTTATTTTCACAAGTGTAATGTAAATTTTATTACACACTGGAAAGTTGTGGAAACCAAGGGAAAAAAGGTTAAATTACCTGCCTAGGATGATCAGCAAACAGGAGAGTGAGGCTGGAAGCCAGGGTAATGGTTTATAACCCAGGCTCTCTTTTTTCCCCTCATTACACGTTTGCCAACGGCTGTCTGAAAACCTGAACACAGACCAGTGGTGGTGTGCGATGGTGGTACAAGCTGAACAAATGAGCTCTTGGGGCCAGAGCAGAGGAGCCCTGACTGTAGCTCCCGCCTATCCCCATGGTGTAAATGCTCTAAGTGGCTGAATTCATGCCACCCACGATGTCACTCAACATAGAGCCAAGAAGCCAACAGGGGCTGGCAGTTGTGTAGACAGTGGATTCTCCCATCTCATCAGGAGAAGCTAGAGCTTCAAGGATACTATTTTCTAATGTGTTACCTCTCTAATTTGTGCGAGTCCTCGGTTGATGGCATGGCATGTAACGTGCTTGGATAAAAAAGGGCAGGTATCGAAATGACCTCCAAAGATCCAGACTGTAGTTGCTGTTTGAATCTATAAATAGAAGTGAAGGGAGGATGGTAACTGAATATTTGATTCCCAAAATAACATAAACACTTAAAGAGAATTCCTTATGCATGGCCACATAATATTTTTTATATAAAAAACTTTTTTTTAATTGAGGTAACACTGGTTTACAAAACGCCGTGAGTCAGAGGCACAGGATCACGTCTTCTCAGGTGCTGGCCACACCCACCCCCAAGGTGCCCACAGTTCTCCACCACAGTCTGCTGGGGCTCCTCCCCGCTGAGTCTTCCCTCCATTTCCTCCCTGTCTAGTAGCCTTGCTTTTGATTTGAATTATTTCACATGTTGATACAAATCAACCTCATAAAATTCATATTTTTTAGCCAGAGTATTTCTTTTGTGAATTAGTGATGGGTACATAAAAAAAATCAACATATACAAAACTGATTTCCTCACATAAAAATCACATAAGTACTTTGATTTTTTAAAGTTTATAATCAGGTATGTACTCTGACAGATTCAAGACAATGGAATGAATGAGTCAGGATAATATGGTAACTGCAAAAGAGCAAGATTAGCTAGTTTTTTTAAGGGCCTAATTTTGAGCTTAATAAAGTCCTCCTGAATGGCAATGGCCAGCTAGTATGAAGTGCGACTTTTGCTCACAACTCATTGGAGGACGATGTATGCTCTTTAGAATCTTTATTTTTAAAATTTAATATCTATATACCACTAGGGAATCATCAAATAGCTATGATACTGCACACAAGAGCTGCAAGGTATGACTTGTGCCATTAAGGTAAAGGGTAGGAGGCCAGGTAGAGCATTTTAAATGGTTTTCCTGTAGAGGCAGAGAGTATGACTTTAAGATTTACATTTAGGTATAGCAGTGCTTATTAAAATGTTAATGCCTCAAGTAATTGTTTATTTTATACTGTTAGGTGAAAAAGCAGCGTAGAGTTTTATATCCCTGAAGTCAATTATGCGCAAAACAGGCAGCTTGTGCTTTGCACAACTCCACTGTGAAATAATTTCAATCACCAAGCTCTAGTTAAATAACATCAGTCCCCCACGACTGCTCACATTTGAGTCATTATGGCATATTAACTGAATAACTGCCAAACTTGTCAGTTGGCTAGATCCAGCTTACGGAAGATGTCTTTACAGAAAGAGCATATTCCTTAGCTCTCCATGATCCCATGCTGGCCTGCCTTATCTCCCACTGACCCAAGCCCAGCACCTGTGTTCCAGGACATGTTTGTGAGAAACAGACATAAGTCATTTTCAGCGAGGGTCAGAGTGGTCCTGAGGCCGAGTCCCTTACCATCTGCTCGTGTTGGGCCTAAGACCCTTGGATTAGGCCAAACAGCAAACGTGAACCTGGCAGGAGAAGGGACATCCTGGGCCCGTGGCCTGGTGGTTGTGGACTTTTGCCAGAGGACGGTATCAGTGACTGATGATGTACAGCCAGGAAGAGGTTAAGCACGTAAATGCTACTGAACCTTCTCTTTAACCACTTCTATTTTTCCTTTCTCCCTGTAAAACCCCCCCACCCCCAACTGTTATCCCTTCTTGCGGGCACATTTTAGGCCTCTACCTGAAACTGTGTAGCTCTTTAATTTAATTTAGGTCTCTACCTGAATTGTAGCTCTTTAATCCCAAATACATGCTTGCCTCTCATTTCTTCGTTTTATTTTTAGGTTAACATACTCATAAAAAAAAAATCTATCATGCTCCCTCTCTTGGACCTTTCTGCCTTCTGAAGCAGTTTTGTCTCCCAGACGCTCCCTTTCTCCTTTTGTCTGCCCGAGGAATGTTTATTTATAGCTTTAAACTCAGATAGATTTGTTAACCTCTCCAGAAAGTCCTTCTTGCTCCCCACAGGTAGAGTGAAATCCCCCGGCTCCTTCCCGCCATGAAGACAGCGCTTGTTCCTCGCTGTGCGCTTTCAAGCTGGTTGAACTGTCCCCGTGAACACAGCGAATGGGAAGACTGGCTGGGTGTGAACCTGGACCTGTTAGAGCCGCAGCATCTCAACTGGTAAACAACGTCAGGCGGGTTCCCCAGGGAGCACTGCTTCTCCCAGAGGGAAACTGCAAGCAGAAGTAAACGAAACTTCTTGCAGAAAGAAACCCAAGAATGTCTTAAAAAGAACCTGGTTGGCTTCTCGCAGAGGCAATGGACTTCATGGAGAATAGATATTATAAAAATAATAGTATGAAGATAAGAATTTTAATTTTAATGCCATTTCCCCTACATAGTTAGGGGACATGATTAAGATACATCTGTCACAACTGGCATGACAGGTTCTTTCGGAATAGAGACCCGCGTTAAAAAGAACATCATCAGCAATGTAGATGGAGCTAGGAGGGATCATGCTCAGTGAAATAAGCCAGAAAGAAAAAGAAAAATACCGGATGGTCTCACTCATAGCAGGAATTAGAAAACCGTAAATAAGGGACCAGGAAAAAGACTATAATAAAGTAAAAATCAAAATCAGCAAGCAACTGTAAACCAGAGACACACTACAGGGGGGAGAGAGAGGAGGGAGTAGGATCAAACAAGGGGGGTGGGAATTGTGTGGGGACTATAACCAAGATGAAAATGCATACATTGTGCAAAAATGAAAAATGATGTAAAAAATATATAAAATTAAAAAGTACATTAAAGAAAGGACATGATCACTAACAAAAATGATCACATAATTGGATGAAACAAGGTGGGGCAGAAAAATGAAAGAACAACTGTGCTAACATTTATTAAGTGGTACTTACTTTTTTGTAATCATGTCAACAACAGATTTAAAATAATCTTCATTACTCTAAAAAAGAGAAAAAAATATGTTTAACTAAGTGTGCCTTATGGTTTTACTACAAACATTTTTGCCACCTGTAAATCTAGGTACAGAAGGTAATTACGTCCGAATATTTTTTAGTGTTTCCACTTTGTAGAAAGAATTTAAAATATCTCATTCTTCCTTAGTCTCAGTATGACATATATCACCACACATAACTCTCAAAAATTAATATGCAAAATCTCATGTATCAGAAAACCTTGTTTCCTGAAGATGACTGGTTTATTTCAAAGAATGGTTCTTTTTGTAAATGTCTTAATCTTACAAGAATCATCTGCTAGGAAGTTTACTCCAAAAGCTAGACTGCATTTCCCCAATAATATGAAATTACTTTGAACAAGGACAGTTCTAGGGTGAAATTTGAGCAGTACCTTGGCAACTCTGACTGCATCTAGTTAGATGTTTGTTTAAAAATCTCAATTATGATGCAGGTGCATCTATTATGGTACTTAAGGTTCTGGAGAGAGTCATAAAATGAATCACCAGCTCTTTGTTAAAACACTGAAACATCAACAGTACTGAAGTTACACTTTTTAATTAAGCATTCTATATTCCACTCAAAATTTTAAAATTTGTCCAACAATATTTTATTATCGGTTCAGACACTTTAGGTAGATGTTCCTTGTGTGAGTGGCCAAAAAATAAAGACTGTAACATGTAACACAGCATTTGTGGCAAAAGTGGAGATTATGCACAGGCCACCAAAGTTAAGAATTAAACTTGGAGACAATGATTGTTTAGCCTTTTTATATTTTTCTATTCCCCTGTGGCTTGAGATTTTTTGGGGGGAGGGGGAATTCAAAGATAAGTTTCTTACTGGAAATTCTAACAATAAGGAAAAAGAAAGGAAGGAGGAAAATGCTCTCTCTAATTCTGGATAACCTTATGTATGTTTTGGAGACCATTTTTCCAAAGTTTGCTCATTCTCTTTTTTCTTTCTGTATGTCATTTTTTCATCCTTTCTACTTTCATCTTTGTCACATTTTACATACACTATTGTGGTAGATGTGATGCTTTACAGCTTTTCTCACTCAGCAATATAATATGCACATCATTTTATGTCAGTGACTATAGATACTCATTCGCCTTCCAGGGGTTACAGGTGTTTACAATGGAAAGAGAAGTCTTTCATTGGCCTCTTCTGGATGGATATGTTGGTTGTCTGGAGATGTCAGAAGTGCACCGAAAATCTCTGTAATAATTGCTTGCTGAACGCTTACTGCGAGTCACGCATCTTCCTGAGCTAATCTAATTGCCGAAGCAACCCTACAATACAGGGAATATTAGCATCACTATCTCACAGGTAAGGAAGTGAAGCAAAGAGAAGTAAATTGCTCAAGTTCACAAGCCAGGAGGAGGAGAAGTTGGCACTCGAATCTCAGCAACTTAGATCCTGAATCTGTGTTCTTGACTACCAGGCGATCCTGTCATATTTTTATTTATTTTTTTAAAGATGTATTTATTTATTTATACAAGCACTGGGTACAGTCAGAAGCACGGGAGGGTGAGAGAATTCACCAGCGCCAGAATGGGGAGCAGAACAGGCAGACTGAAGAAGTACACTGCTGAGGGGAGCAGCGGGCAACAGGAGAGGTCTGCGCCCAGGTGGGACCCTCACCCGGCGGCCGGAGATCCAACCAGTGCTGCAGAGGCTGCGGACAGCTTCACAACCCAGCGCTCAACCGCTGTGCCACCGAGGAGGCCCCCTGTCATATTTTTATTATTTTGAAATTCTTGCCTTATCATCTTGTCAGGATTATTCCTGATGTGATGGATATACATACTGAAAATGAGGTAGATATCACCAAATTCCCCTCCAAAAGGTCTTATTTACATAGAACATTAGAGTTTGATGTGGCCTCAGAGGCAAAAGGGAAAACTATGGGTACACGAGAGAAGGGTAGAATCGAATCTGATCTAGTTATCAGACAAGTTACTCATTTTCTTTAAGCTCTAGAGGTCAGGACAGTAATGCCTGCTTCACAGATGTAATGCTGGTTATAAATAATTCAGATAAAAATCACCTACAACCACTCAGATATAGGTAGGGGCCCCTCAATGAGTGGTACTGTGACTTGATGTAAATCATCTCTTGAGTCCCATGCCAACCTTTTACTGGGCTGGGCGGGTTTTCTCACGCAGCATCAACCATGGCGTTGTGTTTATGTCTCTAATTTCCTTGCTATGTGGTAGGAGGGACTCCGTGAACACACTTAACAATGCAATCTTATTTCTCCACATGGAACCATTATTGCTTTCTGTTTAGAGTTACATATTTCATTCCTTCTTGAGAGTGGCTGACAAGTCTATTGGGTGCTATCCAAAAAAAAAAAAAGAAAAGGCATCTTTGAATTGCATTTTTTTAAATTGATGAGAAAAATTCTAAATAGCCTTCTAAAAATTCAGGATGGCCTTTAGGAAGGGTACTTGGAGGTGAGGGAGGAGCAGACAGCCATGTGCTTGTCATACGTACGTCGGCAATGGAGACGATCACCACGGAGTCCTTCTGCTCTGAGAGAGTCATCCTGGAAATGAGCGAGGTCAGGGTTTGCTTCAGGTACCCGCGATCTCCTCTGTTCACAGTGGGAATACCCAGCGCAAAAGAAACTGCAGACACAGTGACACAGACCCATCATTTCAACCCCCAGGAGAAACTCAATTCAGCGCTACTGCCTAAGCCCACTGGGGTGGCCGTGGGGCCAGACAAAGAGCGTTTGAAACAATATTATGAACATCACCCCAAGCACTGCTAATATTTATCACATTTTTCATTTTTGGTTTGCGGAAGTCCCCTCTGTGGAGTCCTGCTAGTAGATGTGTTACATCCATGCTAAGACATTCCCCAGGGGTAGGATCTCAGGGGCTGGACCAAGAAAACCAGACACTCCATTTCCGAGTGTTTTCAGCTATATGGGTGTGAAACATCAACTGGCTGGTGCTCTATTTTTCTTCCTGAAGAGATGCTGGGACACAATATAGGAAAAACACTATGAAATATTTTCATTCGTGAAACAATATATGGAGAAATTTCTGTATTTCAGGGCAGACAAACGAGGCCTGTGGGCTGCCGATTGCTGCCTCCTGAGAGACCAGCTCACCGCATGGCCAGGTGGTGGCCTGACATTCACCCTGGTAGACTTGCTTCTGACTCCAATGCTTTTCCTCTTCTTGAATACCTGCTGAACTTGGGGCCTCCCTGGTGGCGCAAGGGATTAAGTCTCAGCACTATGAAGCTATCACCAGCCACTGCAGCACGGCCAGGGAGCTAACCCATATGGCGTAGCAGACCTCTCTTGTCTCCCCAGCTGCTCCCCTCAGCAGTGGATTTCCATCAATCCGCCTGTTCTGTTCTCCACTCTGTCTCTGGTGAATCCTTTCACCCTCCCCATATCTCTGGCCTGTACCCCAGTTCTCATATGCATAAATAAATCAATCTTAAAAAAAATACCTGCTGAACTGAAGTCATCCTTCTATGCTTAGCCCAAAACACCCCATGGCCTGAAAAGCTTTTGTTGACGGACGTGGTTCCCCAAAAATTTGGGGAGAGAGGAAGATAACTACTTAAGAACAGATCAGCCAGAACCAAGGGAGGAAAGAAAGAGCTGCCAAGCTCTTAGCAGATGCTTCTGAGAAGTTTGACTTATACTGACTTCTGAATTTCAAAGCACCTATGTTAAAACAGAATTCAATTTTAAATGTGGAGTGAGCTCTATTTTTTCTGGCAAACAATATGCTGACTTCGAGTAATCCAAATTAATGCCAGATAGACCTGGGGTCTATGTATCAATCTAAGTATCATATTAATGGATTGCATTCAAAATTTAAAAGCTTGTTCCCCAAAGTAGAGAGGCAAATCAATAAAATTTGAGGGACAAAAAAAAAAAAAAAAAAAAACACAACAAAGAGCAAAGCATCTGCATTTGATTTTCCAACTCCAAGTTTTCTTACCTCCTGCTCTCTCTTTGCCAATTATTACGTCAGGATAAATTCTGCCTACTTTCCTTAGATGAGGGAAAAACAACTTTAAGACTTCAAATGTATTGGGTACCGTTTTATTCTTATCCAGTATATTCTTCACAGCTGAAAAAGAGAGAAAATAGGGGTTGAGTTCATGACCATAGGGATATTTCTCCCTTTGGTATAATTTTTCTTAAATGAGGGTTAATACATTAATTCACAGATTTAATTTCAATATGAGAAATATTATGAAATGTAAATTACCTAATTCATAAGCCTATGAGAAAAGGTTCAGAGATTATTTGTATTTATTTAAAAATAGCTAAATTTAGCACCATGAGCTACACAACTAGAAGAAATAGAAATATCAGTCCCAAAGGGAGAAGTACAAGAAAAACACACTACAGTGGTCCAGTCTTCTCCTATAATTAATGTCACATCATTAACGTCTACATCTTCATTATTTGTTTTTTTAGCCCCTCAACACGTAGAGACTTCATCTGCACCACCCACTTGAATTTGCCACTACAATTTTGAAAAAGAACAAAGTTGGAGATCTCATCCTACCCAATTTTAACACAAGACAGTGTGGCATTACAGAAAAAAATGGATACATGGATGAAATCAAAAGATCCCTAACCAGGTTGTCAGGGGTGAAGGGTTAGGAATCTGATGACAAAGCGGGAATAGGAGGCAGGACTTTTTATCCTGGAAAAATGGGGAGCCATGAAGGCTGATGCATAGGCTGGGGAGCCTCTGCACAGGCTCCGGTGAGAAGAGACAGGTGGGGACAGGACTGGAGAGAGAAGACAGGTGTGTGTCAGCATTGTGCAGGTGAAACCTGAGGCCTGCCCAGGGTGATGGAGATGGTGCTGACAAAGGCCGGCAGACCTGTGGGGGTCACACGGGGTGAGGAATCACAGGATGCTGAAGGGCTGATATGGAAGCAAGAGCTGATGCTCACACTCTGGCTGCACCTACAGGGTGGGTATGGCAGGTGATGCAACCCACAGAAACAGAAAGGAAGATGGTTTCAGAGTGGGGGAGAGCAGAAGGGCAGCAGTCATGTCTCCTACCTGATTTTTGCACCAGGGAGATATGCCTGAAATCAGAAGGCATAAACCCTACGGGTCTAAAAACAAAACATAAAACAAACCCACCATCCCACACAAACCTGTATTTACTGGTAGATCTTCTCTCTGTGGACTTTGATTGTACATTATTGTCAAGGTTTTCATCAATTCTTGGAAGTTATTTTCAGTTTTGTTTTTTAAGAAGTGCATATTTTCCTCAAATTCCAAAGTACGTTTCCTCCAAAGAGTTAATTGATTACCTGCAAATACAACATAATGTGTATGTTTGTGCATGTGGCAATGGTATCACACAATTTTCTGTAATATACAATGTGTAAAAGATACGTTTCAATATAGCTATAACAAGCACCATATGTGTGTACAGAGTGCTAGATACGAACAGTAAATGTTCAAGCAGAACTATCTTGAAGGTGGCCTTTCGAGGGTTTTTGCTTATGTTGTGCATGTCTGTGTTTTCCCAAATCTTCCATTCTGCATATGCACTAGTTTTATCATTGGAGAAACCAAAAATTTGGAAAAAGAATTTATCTAGTGAAAATGACCATATTGTTTCTTGGCCTTTTGGCTAAGATCAAGAAAATCACCATAGATAGGTACACTGAGTTGACTCTTAAGAATGCTCAACACAGGCCCTCCCCGGTGGTGGCGCAGCAGTTGAGTGCTGGGTTGCAAAGCTGCCTGCAGCCTCTGCAGCGCTGGTTGGATTCCCGGCCGCCCAGCAAGGGTGCCACATGGTGTGCAGACCTCTCTTGCTGCCCACTGCTCCCCTCAGCAGTGTACTTCGTCAGTCTGCCTGTTCTGCTCCCCACTCTGGCTCTGGTGAATTCTCTCACCCTCCCGTGCTTCTGACTGTACCCCAGCGCTTGTATAAATAAATAAACAAATCTTAAAAAAAAAAAAAAAAGAATGCTCAACACAGGGAGCAATTTTATCATTGTAAGTCAGGAACAACCGAAGTGCTCAAGAATAAGAAATATGTTGAATAAACTACAGAATATATTTTGAAGAGCTCCTAGTCGTTCTTGTGTTAAATCATGTATAACTGAAACCTAGTTTTGCCACTTGATATTCGTATAATCTTGGGAAAGCTATTTAATTTTAGCTGGCTTCTGTTCCCTCTTGCTTACAGGGATATAGAAGAATCTTGCCTCAGAGAAGCTACTAAGATGTAATATATAGGGGCCTCCCTGGTGGTGTAAGGGGTTAGGACACAACCTATGAAGCTGTCTGCAGCCACTGCAGCACGAGTTTGATCCCCTGGCCGGCCAGGGAGCAACCCACATGGCTCAGCAGACCTCTCCTACTCGCCCACTGCTCCCCTCAGCAGTGTACTTCCATCAATCTGCCTTTTCTGCTCCCCAATCCATCTCTGGTGAATCCTCTCACCCCCTCCCACCTCTGGCCTGTACCCCAGGTCTTGTATGCATAAATAAATAAATCTTTTTTAAAAAAGATGCAATATGTAATGTGCTAATGTGCTTATGCCATGTGAGGTGTCTACCATGATCATTATCAATGGACTACTCTTTATCCATGTACCAGTGGCATACAACACAGTCAGGAAAACAACCTTGCAGAAGAATAATGATGTAAAAGTGATTTTTTAAAAAACAAAACATTATGAAATAATTTCATTCTTGCCAAAAAAGCACCATGACTTCAGCACTGCACAGTCCTGGTGATGGGGGAGCAGGTGCTTCTGATGGGGTGATGGGGAGGGAGCACAAGTGGAGGAGGTCTGGGAGAGGACCAGAGGAGAGGGCCTAGGGAGTGGGCAGCACAGCCTTTTGGGGGAGGTTTGCTGTAAGAGGGGGAGGAGAGCAGCCAAGTCAGCAGAATGGGAAGTGGGAGGAGAGAGAGAATTCTTTATTTTTCTTTTCAGGATGGGCAAGAGACAGTATGTCTGTATGCTGACGCATCTCATCCAGGGAAAAGGGAAAAACTGATGACGTGTGTGAAAGTGGACGAGAGCGGATGGGCCCGGGGCTGGGGTGTAGGGAGTGCTGGATGGACGTACAGGTCACGGCTTCAATAATGAGACGGGTCACCCGTAAACACGGGGCACCAGCCCAACTAAGTCAGGCTTTCCATTGATCACGGGCTACAGGGAACCTCTCTTATTGCTTCTATTTCTCAGTGAAAAGGGGAGCGCAGTTATCTGCTGAGAATGAGGGTGGAGAACAAATTACGGAAAGCTTGAAAAATATGAAATTGCTTTCTAGGAAAGCAGGAGGATGGAGTTTAGCTGGAGTCTTAAAAGGATCACAAAAGAGACAGACAGAAGGGAAACTGTTCTCTGTAATCACTCATGCGTGGCTTTATCTCTCTTCACGGCTCTCCTGCCTTTTTTCTGTAAGCAACTTCCACTGTGAGATGGGAGAGAATCCTACTACCGAAGCCTCTGCACCTACAAGGTCTGGCCAACGGCCTAATCACCTGCTGATCCTCCTTCCACCTCCCAGAGATAGAACTTTCAGGCTGCCACTCCCACCTGACTCCTCAGGGGCCTTGCTGTTAAATGACCATGGTGTCAAGTCGCATCCAATGCAGCCTAGGAGAAGCTGGATGCACCATGGGCCCCACACTCAGAGGAAAGGGTGTATCTCCCTTGCTCTTTTCACCCGTCCTCTGGGAGAGTGTGGACAGGCGTGACCTGGCCTGGATTGTGCAAATGAAGGCAATACCCCAGAGATGGAGTCACAAGATGGATGGAACCCAGCACCTCAAATGAGGTTAGGGAACAGAAGCTCCACCCCAGTTCATTATTCAAAGGTCAAATCAGGTGCCAGGTGGGTACCTGTTAACACAACTGAAGTTGCCGTCTAAGCGATACAAAGGAACTGTGAAATGGCCCAGAGAAAAGGAGAATAACGTAGCTTCCCACCTTGGTTGCTTTGTTAAGATATTTGAACAGCTGATTAGAGAAGCAATACATGGGTTAAAATTTTAGATAAAGACAGAAAAAGAAAAAAGTACATTGCAATCCCACCACCTGAAAATAACCGCTATAAATGTTCTGTTGTACGTGGTTGGGGACTTTTACTTAACCTCCCCTCTTCCCTCTAACTTTAATAATTAAATGTCAGACACAGTAATGCCGGGAAAAGGCCTTATGCCAAAATAAACTGGTTCATTTTGTACTGAAAAAGGTATAACCTATGATGAAAACAAAACAATTCTTTGTCATTGAGTCAAATAACAAAATATACACCAAAAAATTGGTTAGAGACACAAGGCTATGAAAAAATTCTGTTCAATTAGCAGGGAAAGCATAGAAATTGACTAATGATTTTAGGTGGAATAAAAGATAAATGAACAGCTTGGAGGTCAATAAATTACAGACGGATTTTTTTTTTAATTAAGGTAAAAAAGCCATATGATGCATTTGGGTTGAAACATTTAGTGTCTCCACCTTTTACAAACACAACTGTGTACAGTGGTGACAAAAATTGGATAATACCATTCCCTCGTCCCAGACTCTGCAGGGATGTCTCATCACACACAGAGAAACAAGCAAGGTCTCTTCCCAAGAGGAAGGCCCACAGCCTGGGCCTCAGCTCCTGCTTCCTGGGCCTCCTAGCTGAGCTGGCAGGTACTGCTCGCCCACCTGAGGGCTTTGGTTCTGGCAAATTTCTCAGCACAGAATGGCCAGCCCCACAGCCAGACACTGACCTGGCAGCCGTCCCTGGAGATGCCTCGCTTGCCATCCTAGGAGAAACCCTGCGTCCTCTCTCCCTTCATCCTCTCACGTTCTAAATCCCTCACCACTACGTGACTTCTTATGTGTTTAGTCTCTTCATGTCTCTCTCCAGAGCTCTAGAATGTACACTTGAGCTCAGCAAGAACTTTGACTTTCCTGAGCGCTCAGTTCCCAGTGCCTGCAGCTGTGCCTGGCCATGAGCTCCCACAGGGACATCTGATTGACTGAAAAAACACAGTAGGAGTGAAGGGCTCATCGGGTGGGCACCGATGGGTGATTTGCGGCCTGGGTCATGCCTTAATCAAAGAGCTGCCCTACCCCGGATAACCCTTGCACATTCAGAGTGGATGCTCTCTGAGGACGCTGACGAATTTTTTACATGGATGTCGTTCACGGAGTGCAGCCCTAGGTTATCAGGGATCCCTCTTAATGTTCTCTGTGAAAGGAATCCCGTGCTTGGAGCTGATGTGTTATGGGTGATGCAACAGTCCGGGTTTCCACAATGCAAGCCACTCCCAGAGGGAGCCATTTCGTAAACACAAAAAGAAAGGGTTTTCTCTAGGGGAAGAAGTATTTGCAGAAACAACCACACAGAAATGCTACAAGGTGGGACCTCTAGTCTTAGATCTGCGCCTTGCACATTCTTAACTATTCTTCAATTCATTGATATTCTAGTTAAAATCTTTTTATTACTTGCAAACCCACACAGGTGCTTTGTGAGGATGAATGTTATAAAATTGTTTTCACAAAGGTTTGAAATAATAATCCAATGTTTGGAGTCAACTGTGGTGGAATTGTGAAAACAAATACAAAAACCTGCGTGTGCGCTGTGCACGATGGCGGTGAGGCTCCCACCCAGACCCAGGGGCCCAGGGCCCCCCCCAAGAATCACTGAGCTTTGCTCTCACGGCAGGCACGAGGCCCTGAGCTCCAGGAGAGAGAAAATGCAAATCACATCCGTAATTCTGAGTTTTCTAGCAGCCACATTAAAAAAGGTAAAACAACATAGAGAGGTATGAAACTATACATAGCCCTAAAAAAATAGTGTTGTATTCAACGTTACTGCAAGAAACATAATTTTTAAAGCAATTAAGCCATTATAAAGAAAATATTTTATTCAATCCAGTCTCTGTTCTTTTCCAAAATATCTCTTCAACAGGTAATCGACAGAAAGAAAAATAATTAATGGAATAGCTGACATTGTTTTTCTTGTACTATGTATTCCAAATTCTGTGTGCATTTTTACACCTACAGCCCATCTTAATTCAGGTGCTAAATCTTAAAGGAATAGTGAAAAGAAGCCTTGTCAAAATGATACAATTTAAAACAATTTTTTTAACTGCAGTAACATATGACTTTAACAGAGCATAAATTTCAAGTGCATGTCCTTATAAATCAACACCTGCTAGACCATCTGAAGGTCACCAAAGTCCATGCTGCACCCCCTTTTGCTTGATTTGCCCACCTGACTTCCCCCCTTCCCTTCTAGTAACCACTGTTCTGTTCTTATAGTCTCATCTTGCACAGATGAGTGACTCA